AATATAGATTTTAGGTAAAAGTTTTAACATGCTCCTCACATTAAATTCATGAAAATAAAAAAAAAACAAAGAATAAGAAATTGCTGCCATCATTGGTATTACAATATGGTTACAACTGCTAAAATTTTGATTTCTGTTTATCCCTAGCCCAAATATGTGCATACTCCTACAAACAGACCTAAAGAGTTTTTATTAGATAACACTGCGGTTGATTTTGTATTCTGCCATGTTCTTACCTTAATACTGTTGTAAGGAATACTTTTATATGTGAATCTTAAGCTATATTTTTTATGTAGGCTATCTTTTCTTTGAACTGAAAACTCTAAAATAGTCTAAGTATGCAGAAATCTTAAACTCTATAGTGCATATAAACTTTAGAATGTACAAATACATTTTGACACCACACCTTCCAAATATTAACATTTTTTTTTCCACACTTGCTTCAAGTCCTCTCACCACAAAGAAATGAAGTATTAAAGACACAGCTGTTCCCATCTTCTGTCCCAGACAAATCTACTATTGACAAATGTGGTTTCTGGTTTCCATGGCTATTTTTATATTTTTATTACATGTATTTGTATATATCCATCTGCTATAAAATATTATTTAGCACATTTTAAATGTGTTTATAAATAATGTCACACAATATATATCCTTCAACTTACTTTTCTCACTCAGTATTGTTTTAAACATTTTTCTACATCACTGTGTGTCTGGATCTAACACCTTCTGTTGTGACTGTATGACATTCCATTTTATTTATGTGCCATAAGTCACCAGCCTGCTGTTCATGAATATTTAGTTTACTTTCATTACTTTGCAATAGCAACATGGTGTTGCGAAGACTCTTTGTAGATATTTCTGAATGGGACAGTGCAAGACTTTCTCTGGTGTCAAAACTTAGAAGTGGATTATTAATACATATTTGTCATAGTCCATTTAAAAATATGTATATGAGAATTTCTGAGATGTGATAAACACTTTCCTGCATACTCAGAATCAGAATTTCCATAGAACTTTGAATTCATTGCCTTATTCGATCTTTAAAGTAATATGGTGAAATGGTGAGAAAAAATAAGCTACTCTTGTTTTTATAGGATAGAATAGATGTCAAGAAGCTTCTAAAATGTTTTGGCAAGATCAGCCCAACACCTTCTGTCGATCCTGGGCTCAGGCCTATATTTCCCAACTAATATCTTTATGTCTCCTGCGGGTTCTGACCCCAGGATCAGGGTAGTTGTCACCTTATCTCTGTCAGATGGGAAACATCTGTTGCTTGCACTCGGTGGGAGCCTGCCAGCTCAGGCTGAGCAGAACGAAAGGAGATGGGCTCAGCATGGAGGTCAGTGTCCATGTGGATGTCATTTTTTTGAGTATTTATGAAACTTGTGGAATAGGGCAGATGTGAGGGAAGGATTTTTGTTTTTAATCCCCTCTACATTTCTGTTCCTTCAAAAATTTATGTTAAAAATCCTCCCTGGAAAGGGATTGGCATGAGGAGATGGGTCCTTTGGAAAGGGATCAGATCAGGAAGGTGGACTCCTCATCTCTGGAATTAGTGTCCTTCTAGATGCTGTACCATGATCAGAGGCATGGCTCAGATGGTAGAACACCCACCAATAAGGGAAAGCATCAGATACCAAGTTCAAGTCCCAGACTTGGAGAAAAAAATTAATAAATAAAACTGTACCGGGGCACTGCCTTGCTCTTTGAAGGTCCCTTTGAAGATCAAAGCAGCAGGATGTCACGCTTTAATGTCCTTGCGACACACTGATCTTGTCTGTGCATTGATCTTCTGCTTCCAAAGCTGTGAGAAATGATTATTTGTTGTTTCTACGCCCCACAGCCAATGGTACTGTTACTGCAGAATGCTCAGACGAATGCACATTGTGGGCTTGACTGAATAGCTTGTCATCCCAAACTCTACCTGATACATAAAAGGATTTTTAGCATTTCCTGAACTATTTATCATGGCCTTCCTTTCCCAAAGAAATCAATAAGAAACAAGGAAATTAAGAAAGAAACAGACAAGAGAGAACAATGACTTCCTCTCCTTGAGTCTGAAGGCATTGTGTCACCATCTTCTAGACAATACATATGCTTAAATCATGCATTTATTGAGAGGGAACTGCTCAGCAGTGTGTCAATGGGAAAGCAAAAGTATCCCGTTATTATCTCCTTATTTTTAAAAGTATCTTTCTGGACCCTGTCCCTGCCCTCTCCCTTCGCTACTCCCATCCACCCAAGTAAAGAACTGTAAATGTCATCAGGAGTGAATGCTGTTTTCTTAATGGGTGGGTTTCCTTCACATGTCACTTAGCATGTGACAAGGCTGACAGGTGTTAACCTTAGCAATGGTTAACATTTCCCCAAATCTCCTCCAGGAATTGAGGCCTCAAGTATGAAACTTCACAAACTTTTGGTTTAGTTCACACTTCTGGTTAGAGAGCAGGATGTTGGAGGGTTGAATGGAGAGCGAACGTCAGGCATGCAGGATATGCTGGGCCTCTGCTTGAGCCTGGGGTCCCCTGGTCCCATTTCCAGCCTCTGTCACTTCCCTAGGGCAGGGGAAAGGTATTTGGACCTGTGAAGGTGGGTTTAGCCATGCCTTGTTATTGACCCCTTCCAGTCCCCTCTTAGATCCAGAAATCGTGTCCAGAGGGCAGCTGCAGATGAATGAAGAACATCTCACCTAGTAAATGGTTTTGTTACTCAGGGTTTTCCTCTCTACCCTAGTTCTCCATTCTATATGAGTCTTTTATTTGATAAACTTAAGTTGCTTTTTGTTTGTTGGTTTTATTGTTGGTGGTGGTCATGAGTCTTGAACTCAGGGACTAGGAGCTATCCCAGATCTTTTCTGCTCAAGGCTAGCTCTCTATCATTTTGAGACACAGTGCCACATCCTGTTTTCTGATGGTTAGAGATTAGAGTCTCTTGGAACCTTCCTACCAGGGGTGGTTTGATCCTGGATCCTCAGATCTCAGCCTACTGATTAGCTAGGATTACAGGTGTGAGCCACCAGCACCTGGCTGAGTTTTTGCATTTTGAATGTATGTGCTGGTCTCTTGGGATATTATAGAACTCCCATTGCTTTCTCTAGAAGATGGTTAACTTTCCTGAAGAGATTAGACCACATGTGACCAGATTTGTCACTAATTTTTAAGAGATGCTGTGGTTGGGAACCCCAAGGATAGTGTCTGCTTTCCCGTTTGTGAATTGGGCATCTAACTTTTGTTTGTTTCATTCATTCCTTCGAGAAATGAGTAAGCTGAGATGCACAGAGTCTCCTTTTGTTTTATTTGTATATGAGTATATTAAGTATATTGTATATTAAGTAACAAGTGAGGAAAAGTCAATTGCTAAGTCTAAAAGCTCTTGGCAGTAGACCTATGTAAGAATAACATTGGGAACACGGATACATTATATATGTGCACAGTAGTAATACAATTTGGGAGTTCTGCCTTTGAAGCTAAGTAGGGGTAATGAGCAGTACTCACAGAGCTTTTGTGACCGCAGAGTTCTCAATAAAGAGGAAGAATTTTTCTTATACTTCCTTGCAATGCCTTCCCTTTTAACGCTGCAAATTAAAACTTTAAATGAGAATATTGACTTGATGTAAAAAATGTTAACAATATTCTCAAATAAGAGACTTGATCATGCACATGCAGTTTTAAACCTTGCCTCATTGAGAGTCTGAGATTTGAAAATCCATGAAATGGCATTTTATTCACAAGAATTCTGAAGAGTGGCAATATGATATAATGTAGAATTGGGTGAGGGAAGACTGGTTTTTGCTAGCTATGCCATCCTGGATATGTTACTAACGTTCTTTGAGTAAAATAATAAGTGAATAGCTAACACATTAGCCTCATGTTCTAGGTTAAAAAAAAATCGCATGAAGTTAGGCACCAGTGGCTCACACTTGTAGTCCTAGCTACTAAGGAGGCTGAGATCTGGAGAAAGTCAAACCAGATAGCAAAGTAGTAGAGACTCTATCTCTAATTACCCAGCAAAAAACAAGACTGAAGGCTTGGCTGACATGGTAGAGCACTCACAGTGAGCAAAGAAGCTCAACAGGTGCAAGGCCCTGAGTTCAAACCCTAGTACTAATACAAACTAAACAAGACAAGAAACCTCATACTAGACATAGGGGGAAGCAAATGAGGACGTGTCGGTTTTACCAACCCATACAGAGATGTTGAGAATATATGTTATAAGCCATATTTCATCGGCCACACATAGAGGGTGGTTCAATACAATTTTTTTCTGGGGGGGTGTCTGGTCATGGGGCCTGAACTCTGGGCCTGGGCGCTGTCCCTCAGCTCTTTAGCTCAAGGCTAGCGCTCTACCACTTGATCCACAGCGCCACTTCCGGCTTTTTTCTTCTTGCTCATGGGGTGCTGAGGAATCGAACCCAGGGCCTCATGCATGCAAGGCAAGAACTCTACCACTGAGCCACCTTCCCAGTCCCTCAATACATTTTTTTTAAAATGAGAGTTTCCTAAACTAGGCTCATGCCACTCACATCAATGAAGGAACTTTGTCATTCCTTTTGCTTCTTGACCATGACCTTATGAAGAACAAAAATAAATACTGAATTTCTGATCATGACTGTCCCTTGACATTATTTCTCAATGATTTGTTCTTACATTCTTCTTGCAGCAAACATTTCTAATACCTGTTGTAAGTAGGTAGGGTCCATGACATGGTCGGGGGAGGGAGGAAGACTTGGAAAGTACTTATGAAGACCTGTGAAGATGTACTAGTGTCTGCTCTTGAAATCTCTCTGAGTGACGCTGGCAATGACCACAGATTCAGACATTCACAGGAAACTTGGCAGCAAGATGTGAGATAAAAACCAGTTGCTTCAGATCCACACGAGTGGCTTTCCCTCCTTCATTTTGTTTCTGCTCCTCTGTATGTTGGCTCGGGGAATATGGCCCTTACAAACATACAGTTGGAGCTCTGAGCCACTTCTCCCCTGTTTCCCATCTTTGTAGACATACGATGGTGCAACCTCTGCAACCGCCCGCCTGGCCAGAGTGTGCGGGAGACAGCAGCCCGCCTCCTCCATCACCTCCTCAGGAAATACCTTGTTTGTCAGATTCCAGTCTGGCACTTCTCGACAGAGCAGGGGCTTCCGGGCTCGATTCAAGCAAGGCAAGTAGTACTCTGTGGGTCTCCGGCATTCAATGTCTTCTTGGTGGTATAATAAGATGAGAGAGATGCTCAGAAACTCATCCCCGGCTTCCTACTGACCTTGCAAGAGTTTAAATACAACCAGAGACCTGTGACTCGCTTTGTCCCATGTATTGATATGTTTATCTTTGATTTAGATGATGCTGAAGTCTTAGGACCCGCTTATCTCTCAAAACTCTGTGTTCTCTTCAGAGTAATACTTGAAACTGTTTTTAACACTAGATACATCATACAAATAGACTTTCATCTATACCTATTTAAGGTTTTGCCACAAAAGGAGATAAACCACAATACGTTACAAGACTTGCTTATAAACCAATCCAGTTAGAGTTCCCGTATTGTGGACTGTCTCCTTTCTGAATCCTCTCCTTGTCCAATGGAGGAGCCAGTGTGGTTTTGCTTGTTTTTGATCTTAAGTCACTGCTTCTCGGTTTTCCTTCCAGGCTTTTCCCTTCATTGTCTTTACCACTTGCTCTCTCAAGTCACTTGCAAGCAAAAGCCCTGCACTGATTATACCCCTCAGAGCTTGAGCCTCTCTGATGATGTGTGAGCATGCACAATTGTGTTTATAAAGCTCGGTCCACATGAGTATTTATTTTTTTCCGATACAGTGATTATCCCTCTACTCAGAAGTTATGGCTGGACAGAGTAAGTGAGTCAAGGCTAGAGTTTTGTTTGAATGCAGAACACTTAATCTCTTGTCCTATGCTACTGCCCGACTTCAAATATTCCTGCAGTAGCTGTGTTGTTGTAAATGTTGTTTCCTGTCTTCTGTTGTTTTCTATGCCACTTCTTTTGCACAAAACTTCCTGGGATGCATTTCATAAATAACGAGAATTCAGTCCCATTTTCATTCAGCATCAACTGTTTGGTACAGGTGGTAGAAAAGTCTGGCCTATAACAATTGTTTGTATTTCTAGTATGCGGTGGCTACAGTATCACCGACTCTTCTGGTACTATTTCCTCTCCACTGTACCCCAACAAGTATCCTAATGATGAGAACTGCAGCTGGATACTTCAAGCTCAACCTCCATGTAAGTAGCCAAAGGACGGACCCTGGCCCTCTGGTGTCTGTGAGAAAGGCAGTCCATGACCAACTCCCATCTCCTTAAGCCAGTCTTCCTGTTCTTTTCAAAATCTCAATTCCTCATGTGTAGGAGAACAATGTGTGTTCTAGTAAAAATTTTTCTTTACTGTCTTATCTTCTATTAAGACTTTTTTTTATCCTAGCAAAGCATACTTAATAAACTATCCATAGCAAATCTATATAACTCTACTGTCTTGACAGGCATGTAAGATTGAAGATAAGGCACACTAATTGATAAATAAATGGTTTTTGACATGTGTGCTCAAGATGCTCGACAGTTGCTGACCAAAAGACAAAAAAATGATAAGAATGACAGAATCTCTCAACTTGCAAATGCAATGCCTGCAGTCTATTGACCTCTAATCAATGTGGAAGCTAATTATAAAACCTGGTCTCGCCTGCCATGTGTTTTAAAAATCCCAGTATAGCCCTGCTCCCAGCGCTCAATGTGTTGATTAGATTTCCTCTTTGGAATCCTCAAATCCTGTTTTCTGACCTAGCAGTGGTCTTTTTTTTTTTTTTTTTTTTTTTTTTAAGGTTTTATGTAGATTTTATTGGCGGAGAAAATGAGGAGTCAACCCTTATGGATTACAAAAGTAACCCTTGAGCCATTCTGAGTCCTGTTTCATTGTTGAGCCTTCGAGGTTTTCGTTCAGGGAAACTTTATGCTTTCTGACATGCTGTAGAAAAGTTCTCTACTGCACTGTATCATCCAATCTATGGCCTATGTGAAAATAGTCAAGTCACTGGCTAATTAGGCCCAGTATAAAATAATACACAAAATGAAGACATTTGCTTAAATATTATCTTCACACCTTTCCTGGTGATGTAACAGTGGATAATACCTTTATTGTCATGAGTAAGATGAGGGCAACATGTACTCCTTCACTAATTGAAGGACTGGGTAGAGGCCTAAGAAACATTCCTCTCAGAAACTCCAGGCTTGTGCTGAACCATTTTGAGCCTAAGGGTTGTTTTCTAAGGAGTGGCCAAGCATTTAGAAGAAAGTGCTCACTGCTCCTTGGTCAGTAACTGGGAAGAGATCCCATTCTGAAGATTAGGGACCTTGGAAGAATAACCAAAGGAAAATAGACTCAGGCTCTTAGTGTTCTGCAGGCATTTCAAAGCTTTCCTGAAAACGGAGCGAGCCTCTAGGGCACTAGCTCTGGCTGGAAAACAAAGCTGAAGGCCTGGGGATGTTTGTACCAGGCAAAGACAATCTTACTGACAAGTACAAGGAAATAATCTAAATTTAAGGAAAGTCTTCCACTGAATGCTTACAACAGGAGCACAGAAATGGCTGATACAAAAAAAAAAGTAGAAATGCTGCATGATCCTTATGATGAAATTGCTAAACAGTCTTTTTTTTTTTTTTTTTTTAATACTGGACCAGCATCTCAGAATCTATAGGCATTGAAAAAAAATACAAACGGATTCTTTTACTCTTTAAAGGGAATCCTTTAGCATAGAAGTTGTGCCCCCTTCCCCAACCTTTGTTTAAGCTCACTCATCCCCTGGGCAAGTCTACTAACTTCCCATTAGAAAGCCCTTCTTTCAAAGTATCACTTGCAAAACCTCTCTCCCTTTGCTTTGTTTGCCTGTGCTTTATGAAATAATCTCCTCTGTGTTTTTGTTTTTCCTTGCAGTTAATCATATTACTCTCTCCTTTATCCATTTTGGACTTGAAAGCAGTTCTAATTGTACACGGGACTTTGTGGAAATTTTAGATGGCAACTCCTTAGATGCGCCCCTCCGAGGTACGTACCCCACCCCAACTCATTGCCATCTTGCTTGTGTGCTATTTCTGTATCTACGTATTTATATGCTGATAAAAGGAACAATCATAAACCAAGTAGAGTAATTAGCGAGTAAGAAAGCAGGATTTCATGTGGAGTTCAAGAAACTCAGCTTGTTCCTTTTCTATATGTGTATCTTTTTAAGTATTTTTGAAAAATTGCAACTCTCTGAGACAGTCCTGGAAGAAGTCTATTCCAATATCAAATAGAATTCTTCCCAAATATTTCTGGTCAATAATTGCCCGTAATCCTTATATTGAAATTGAATATGCTTTTCTTTGCTCTCAGTGGAAGCAAAAAACAAAACAAAACAAAACAAAAAAAAGCCAGAGCTTTAATTAATTTCTGAAAATCTATCACTTGGTTTTCATGTTATCTCAGGAGAATGAGAGTGTATTGCTATTTTCTAAAAATTCTTCAAGCAAAATAATCCCAGGTCAATTTAAACTTTCTCCATCAGCGTGAACTATTTTTTAAATAAGTTTTGTCACATAAACTTCTCATCTAGCCTTGGATGTTGAGTACTAGTTAGCTTGTACTTAGAGTTCATTTTTAGTTCTCAGGCATTCTCGTGATTACTAATTTAAATGAACTTCCAAGCAGTGATTTCTCCAATATGCTTGAGTCTCTTGTCATTTCTATTAACGATGTGTTTACAGTCTCTGCCACATTATCCTTCCTTCTCTACAATTATGACTTTGTTACGTAGGTCGGTACTGTGGAAGGTCCCTGCCCCACCCAATCACGTCCTTTGGCAATGCCTTGGTACTAAGATTCGTCTCTGATGCTGGACTAACTGATGATGGTTTCCAGGTTTTATACGCAGCATCAACATCAGGTAAGAAACGTTAGCAAGTGGCCCCACTAGGAGGGCAAGTCATGTACTACCAGTCCTGGATTTGCTGTCTGGGACTCTTTGACCTGCAGAAGTTGGAAGCTGTTATCCTAAGATCACTACTGCTCCTCATCTTACCAACTTCACATTAAGGTAAACGTTTACTTCCTAATCATACTGAACTCCAGAAGGGAGTATAGCCTGCAGACCTGCCTCTTGGTAGCTACGCCTCATGATCTCAGATGACTATGGACTGTGTCTTCATGACATGTTTGTTAAGTCATTCTTTGACTGCCAACTTCTACTGGCACAATGAACAGACACAGCACTCTTCTTCCATCCAAACTTCCCTGCTGTGGGAAGGCCAGGTCCGGATATTGACAGAGATGATGGGTAGATGTGTGGAGGGGTGGGAGGAGAGAAAGATGCCATTCAAAACTGAGCGTCTTGGACTCAGTAGCATTTTTCACAGTCAGCTCCCTCATTAGAAACAAAAATATCCAAGAGCCAGGGGATGCCTTGTTGGTGCCTGGAAGTTGTGTTTTGTTGTTATTCGGAGAGGGCAAGGCTGCAAACCTCCTTTTCTTTTAAGCCAGGATTGAAGATGATACTGGTTACAAACAACGGAGAAGTTTCAGAATTAAAAACAAGTCCTTGATCACCCGAACTTATAGTTGTTAGTTCACAGGGTGAAGAAGCTTTAGAACATGTGAATTCTCTCTGAGTGGCTCCTGGCTTTCAGGCTTTACCCTCTTTTCCTCATTAGATGTAGCATGGATTTTTGAAAATTGAGATGGAAATGCTATGTATGTCATTGATGGAGATGAAACTGTTATGTCCTTCGATACTAATAATGGCTATAATGGTCTTAGCTTACATTGTCTCAGATGTGATCTTTGCTCTGACACTCTTTTATTTCTCTCTCTTTTTTTTCCTATGTCCAGCTTGTGGTGGAAACTTACACATGGGCGAAGGCATTTTCGACAGCCCTGGCTACCCAGACGTTTATCCCCCGAATGTGGAATGTGTCTGGAACATTGTCAGTTCCCCTGGCAACCAGCTGCAGCTGTCCTTCATGTAAATCCTTTTTGTTGGTGTATTGTTTCAGTGCTGATAAACCTTAGGAAGGAAGTGCTGTTACTAATAGCATGGACAGCCAACCACAAAGGTGCCTGTGTAACTGCTAAAGAGAATATGATGGGAGCTTAGGAAGTCTTTCTCCAAATTTCCTGTTTTAGTCATAGTTTGGGTTATAAATACCACTAAAATCCTCTTAACCATGGTTTCAGAACCTGGGTGCTGGTGGATCATGCCTGTAATCCTAGCTATTCAGGAGCCTGAGATCTGAGGATCTGGGTTCAAAGCCAGCCAGGCAGAAAAGTTCCCATGAGACTCTTGTATTTCCAATTAACTATTCAAAAACTGGAAGTCGAGCCGTGGCTCAAAGCTGTAGAGTACCTTCTTGAGCAAAAGAACTCAGGGACATTGCGATTATCTTGACATTGTCCTGTCTGGCTCTTCTGTCTGACCAGGCCAAGCATCTGTGCATCAGGAACGAATTGAAAATATGAACTGTTCTATTGGATGAATGATTCTATTTGTAGAATACAGTTCAAACAGTTGAGGTTGTTTCTTTGATCTGTCATCAAGACAGTGCCTTTTCAAGGTATAAGGGCCATTGTCTTAAGTCAAAAAGGCATTCTACATGGGGGAAAGGCAATGGGTGTTGAAAGCTTCATTGTGTGTGGGGAGGATGTTTGGGGCATTTTTGTCTTCATTAGCATCACATAGTTCCTAAAGGGAAAGCTATTGTCTGAGTCCTTAACCTGACTTAGGTTATTTTATTTAAGAAATACTTGTCAAGACACTACAAAGTATTACACGTAGAGGTCAGGTGCTACTCTTAGTAGGTGATTTGTATATAGTCATTGTTTTTATGACATGGTCCAAGGTCCTTCATTCGTTCTTTTAGACCACCTAACTTGCCAGATAATAGCGCTTCCTGTTTGATCTTTTTCCCCCTATCTGGTCTTTTCCTTCCTGGTCTCTATTAATCTCAGATGGTCACCACTGTGAAGTTCAGTGGTTGTCAGAAACTTGGGTTATACACTTGGAATATTAAGACATACTGTTCTAGTTCTTGGTAGACTTGGTGACTCATACCTGTCATCGCTGCAACTCGGAAGTGGAGGTGAAAGGATCATGGTCTGAGGCTGGCCTCACATCAAAACCACAAGATGGAAGTGGCACTGTGGCTCAAGTGGTAGAGCGCTTGCCTTGAGTTGAAGAGCTCAGAGACAGTGCCCAGGCCCAGAGTTCAAGCACCACAACTGACAGAATAAAAAAAGCATAAGAATTTCTCCAAAAAATAATGAAAAGCAAAAAAGGGCCAGGGGATAAGGCTCAAGTAGTAGAGCACCTACCTTGCAAGTGCAAAGCCATGAGTTCAAAATAGTGAATTACTTAATGAAGTTATTAATAAAGATTCTAGGTCCTGGCCAATTATTGATCAATCAAGATCATAAAGCTACCTAACTGAACCCTCAGGAGATAAATTTCTTCCACAGAGGGATTTAAAAAAAATCTTTTTAATCCTAACTTCACTGTTAGGATGAAAGATGTAAAAATTAAAACGTGCAGCACAAGATAGTTGCATTTTTCTTAGGCTGAGCTATTTCTGATGAATTTTCTGTGATATACACCAATACAAATGGACAACATTAGGCTCTCCTCCCAGTGCAGGGTAAGATGATAAACATTGAAAGCGGATTCATAGATGTTAAATCATAGTTACTGTGTAGGACATTGACTGTTTCTTCCCTCCCCGGAGAGAGAAGTTGACTGACTACTTTGTGTTATTGCTTGAGTTTATCGTTAAAATGGATCTTGTAGATTGCAATATGTTTGTTTTTGTGTGGATGATGATGAGAAGGACAGGACTTCATGAGGAGGTTGTGAGTTATTCCTGCCTTAGTCTCAACTGATTCCAGTTTGGTGCTTAGGCATTTCCCCAGGGTGTGAGGAGAAGCATGAGTCATATCCAGTTCTAAAACATAGAGTTGGCAGTGTGCATGTTGTGGTGGTAAATCTCAGTAGGGACAAAACTGGAGAATGTAATAATATATGGTGGAATTTGCCGCAGAAGAGAGAGGAAATAAAAATCTCAAGAGGATCTTAAAAAATAAAACAAATATTTAAAGGAATCAGCAGAAATTCTACTCTTTGCTAGCAGAGTGCTTTTAGGAATTGATGGGTTTTGGCTCCAAACTGAAACAAGATAATGAGAAACAGCAGTGTATTATTTTTGTTCCAGACTGTATTTTTTATTAGCATTTTTAACCAAGGGGGCAGATTTCATTATAAAGTGTACCAACCTAAAACAAAAAGTTCCAAGAACTAGAAGGCTTTTCTAAGTTTATTCTGGTTCATATAGGTATTGTGTTACAATAATTACTAAAACAATGTCATCTCTACTTTTTAGCCATCAATTATAGCCTGGAATTTAGGATAGACTTTGCAATCTTCTGGACCAATGGGTAGAACATTAACATATGTTTTGATGCATGCATGGTCCTGTCTAGCATTCTTCTTCGGCTTCTACTTCATCTACAATTCATTTACTGGAGTTGAGTAGAAATGTTTTAGAGGTAATTTCATGTAATTGTCCTTTAGAGGAAAACAATATGCCTTTCTTCCCATTTTGCTTTCTGAGAAGCCAAAGAATACAATTTCAGCACATATCATATTGTCGGTAATAAAACTGAGCGGATCTAAATATGGATTCAGATCAGTTTCTTACAGAAAAAGACCGTAGCTACAACTTGGTACTATGTCATCAGATCATCAAGGCAGTAAGGAAAGGTATATAGTTTACCTTCCCTAACTTTCCCAGCTTCTCAACTACTAGTTATAGCTTGCTGCTTAAACTACATCTAGAATAGAGTCCAGGTGGTCCAGGCCATAATCTTCTAGGTTGATAGGCTCAGAAGAGCAAACACTCCCCATTCTTCTTCCTAGAAACCCAGCAGTGCCAGTGTCTCTGTTAGTGAGAAGCTAGGAATAGAATAAACCAATCAATTTTCTCAGGAATCTTCAACTGTGTGCCCTTGAGCGCTTGAGGTGCCAGGAGGCTTCATTCAGGCTTGCACTCCATTGAAGCCCAGAGCAGCACTGTCCTTACCATAGTGGGAAATATTACCCCATTTCATTTTGAACCTTCACTGAAAGATACACGGGAAAAGAGGACTTTCTATATTCTTGAAATGCTCTTATGTTTTCCCTCCTTACAGTAAGTTTTAGACCATATTTTCCTTCCTTTCTTTGTCTTTTTTCTTTTTAGGAAATTCTCCCTTCATCTCTCTATTTGTCTACCTGTTTATCCACCTATCTGTTTGTCTGCCCATCTGTCTGTCTATCTATCTATCTAATATCTATCTATCTTGGTGGTTCTGGGGTTGAACTCAGAGCCTTGCTCTTGATAGGAAACAATTATACCACTTGGGATACACTCTCAACTTTTTTGCTCTGGATATTATTCAGATAAGATTGTCAGACTGAGATCTTTTCCCCTTCTGCTTTCCATGTAGCTAGCTATGTTCCACGTTTCTTTTAGGTTAGGGTCCCACTAACATTCATCCCTGGTCTGGCCTTGAATCTTCTCCTCACCTTCTCCTCCCAAGTAGGTAGCTGTGTTATAGGAACAAAGCACCATACTTTGTCCCAGAAATAAATTGAATATTGTCAGACAGCAAATGACCTATGTTTTGAATGTGATGTGTATCCTTTCTTGATACTTGCATGTGTGTGGCTCAGGGCATCGTGATTGATATTTTAATTGTTTTCTATTTACGTATGTGTTGCAAGAGTCGTTTTGTATTCCAGATATTAGAATTTTCTGGTGTTTGTATTCTTCTTGGGTAAATAACCAGGAGGAGGGTTTATGGGATAGCTTGGTATGTATTTAATTTTCTAAGAATTATTCAAAGTACTTGACCAGAATATAGTCCCAGCAGGAATTTACAAAAATTTCCAATACAGCTGTATTCTTATCAACATTTGATCTTGTCAGTGTTTTCTTCAGCCATTGTGAGGGATTTAAATTCATACTCTTTGTGATATTTGACTTGCATGACTCAGATGCTCTCTCTCTTTCTCATTCTCACTGGACATTCAGTTACTGTCTTACGAATGCCTGCTTCACTGTTGTCCATTTTTAATTTGCTGATTTTATCACTGTAGGAATACTTTTTCTATTCTAGCAGCTTTGTGTTTCTATTAAATACCTGCTTTACAGTTATCTCCCCTCACCCTGAGTCAGTCTGTGTGTTGTCTAATATTTGCTTAATTATAGCCTTAATGAGGAACATTTTTTAATTTTTTTCGGTGAAGTTAAATTTATTCACTATCTTACACGCGGTGCTTTTATTGCATTCTGGGAAGGAAATAGTTGCCTATCTCTAAGTTTCAAGGGATTTTATTTTTGTGAGAGTGAAGCAGGAATATGGCAAGTTCTAGGCTAGCCTAGACTATTTGTATGACCTTATTTAAAAAAAAAAAAGTAGATACTTACAAACAGCATATGAGTGTGATTCAGAAGAATCCCAGAATATGTTCTGTTGTACTAATTCCTAAAATATTTTTTTTCTCTCCAAATCAGATCTTTCCAGTTGGAGGACTCTCCGAACTGTAGCAAAGACTTTTTGGAAATCCGAGAGGGAAATGCTACAGGTCGCTTGGTGGGACGATACTGTGGAAACTCTCTGCCTCACAATTACTCATCCATTGTTGAGCATATTCTGTGGGTCAGATTTGTGTCTGATGGCTCGGGCAGTGGCACAGGCTTCCAGGCTGGCTTTGCTAAGAGTGAGTTGGCCCATTCCAGGGATAGCTTCCAGAATATGTCCTGAACACTAGAAATAAAGATGTATTTATCAGGGGGGGCTGGGAAGGTGGCTTAGTGGTAGAGTACTTGCCTTGCATGCATGAGGCCTGGGTTCGATTCCTTAGCACTACATAAGAAAAAAGCCGGAAGTTGTGCTGTAGTTCAAGTGGTAGAGCGCTAGCCTTGAGCTGAAGAGCTGAGGGACAGCACCCAGGCCCAGAGTTCAGGCCCCACGACTGGATTCCCCCCCCCAAAAAAAATAAATAAAAATGTATTTATCAGTAATGCAGGAAGCAAGAATCATTCTAAACTCTCTGCCCTTCTTCCATCTTGACTTGGTGAAATTATAAAATAATTTTTAAAAACTAAATTATATATGAATGTCTCATTAAGAGCAAGAAAGAGCATTCCCAATGGTTTTAATATTTTTAAGCTCGAGTTTCTACCTAATGTTAAATTGATTTTTTATGATATTGTGCTAATACATTCCACACAGGGCATATTTCTGTCAAATGTGTTTAATTTGATCCTATAGACTTCATTAAATACAAAATTAATATTGAGAGTTGGCTTAACACTCAGTGTCACTGATTTTTATTTATTTTTTATTACTCCCCCCCCCCCCCCCCCCCCGGTCTCTCTCTCTCTCTTTTTTTTTTCCTGGAGTTCTGCCAGACAGAGGTTCTTATCCCTGATCCATTCATCCAGCCATTTCTGTGCTGGTTATTTTCAAGATAATTTACCAGTCTTTCAAGGGCAGTCTGTCTGTATTGGATTTATCATTGTAGCTGGGAGAGCACGTTACCAATCCCCAACTCTTGGTTAGAAAGAGTCTGGCAAACCTTTGCCTCTAAACACAAGCTGCTCAGTCTCCTCAGTGTATAGGATTATAGTCATGAGCCACCAGCCTTTGGCTGCCACGTTTATTTTTTCACTTGACTTTTATATAATTGGCTATTCTATGTGTTCAATTTTTTTTTTTATTAGAGACTTTTTTAAAGAGTAAGAAACAGCTGAAGGGGAAAAAGATATTAAGAGTAATAAATTTTCCTGGGCTGGGAAGGTGGCTCAGTGGTAGAGCACTTGCCTTGCATGCCTGAGGCCCTGGGTTCGATTCCTCAGCACCACATAAGAAATAAGCCGGAAGTGGCGCTGTGGCTCAAGTGGTAGAGCGCTAGCCTTGAGCTGAAGAGCTGAGGGACAGCGCCCAGGCCCAGAGTTCAGGCCCCAAGACTGGACCCCCCCCCCCCCAAAAAAAAAGAGTAATAAATTTTCCTTTTTGTAACACCAAGTGAAATTAAGAAGGATAACCATCCCTTCCTCTTCTCATGACCTGTGGGGGCTGGGTAACCTTTTCACATGGAAAGTTATCACCTCTTAGTGTACCAAGCAACCATGTCAAGTGATGGCATTCCATTCACAAAATCACCCTTCTCCAGGGTATCAATGGATAGTTCAACAGCCAAACAGGAAATAGTATTTCTTTCACGAGTCAGAAAAGTAATCAATGTCAGATAAAAAGCCCACCCTTTTCAACTTCCCTTGCCTTTTGCTTTGTTTTGTTTTATTTTCTCATTTGATTATAGCTCTATTCTAAGTATACTTGATTTACTCCTCTATTTATTCTCTCCTAGTATTTGGCAATAATAATATTGTGGGAAGTCATGGGAGAATTGCCTCTCCCTTCTGGCCTGGAAATTACCCTGATAACTCCAACTACAAGTGGACAGTAACTGTGAACACATCTCAAGTTATCCATGGCAGAATCTTAGAGCTGGACATTGAGTTAACAACGAATTGCTATTATGACAAATTAATGGTAAGTTTTCATAGGCAATCTGGTATTTATAAATGTCCATCAGATAGCACTGGCAAAAGTAAATCCAAACAGCTGAAGGATGCTTGGGATAATCTCCCACAAACCATACTTACTGCCTACTACCTATACAAAAAGAATTCCACTAACGTATTTATCATGTTGTATTCTGTATTGAGGGCTTTTTAGAGCATTAGTGTAATTTAACAGTTGATACATCAAAGCATGCCTGGTGTCTTATTTATTTTCTCTTAAATCCCATTATCCTGATTGTTTATATGTTAAAGTGTTAACAAAAAATCCTTTAATATATCCATTAAAATAAACAAAAAAGAGACCAGGCACCTGTAACTCATACCAGAAATCCTAACTATTCAGGAGGTTAAGATGGAAAAGTGTAGACGACTCCATCTCAAACTCACCATCAGAAAGCAGAGCTGGGTAACAGCTCAAGTCAAGCAAAAACCAAGCAAATGCAAGAGCTTAAGTTCAAAATCCAGTATTAGCCCCCTCTCCTCCCATGGAAGTTGTGATCACTACCATGCTCATAGTGAATACTGTACTGTATTGGATCCCTGATGGGTGAGATCCTGTCTTATTCCCTTGGATATTCAGTGCCTTGACTAACTCCAAAATCTGATAGATGCTCAAGATATATGGAAATAATTGTTGAATAACCTCGAAAAAAAAAGAGGTTCAGTTAAGGACATATTATTTGTAGCCGTGAAATTTTTGCTTATAATTGGGAAACTACCACATAATGTGTTTCTAAATAGTTGGATATTTAAAACCAAATGAGAGAGATTTATGGAATGATTTGAATACACTGAGCCCTCCTGGGTTTCTGTGTTATGGAATCATTTTTTTCCTTTTTGGGGAGCCAGGAGCTCTTCTGGAACATTGTTTCCCTTTCTCTCCATGAACCTTTCTTTCAGTTTGATTTGCCTTTATTCCTAATTCCTTCCTTCGAGGCCCTAAAACAGAATTATTGAGTATTGTTCAGTAACTATCCTAGTTTCTAGTTTTCTGCCCAGAAATTTTACTGCAAAAGTATCTAATAAACTGTATCCATTAGAGCATCTTATTAATGTAATTTGGTCAAGGAGCTATCAGTATTTTTGAAGCACCATTTATTACTTGCAATTATACTTTATATTTGATGATCCTTGCTGTTTCAAACTGAAATTAAATGTTTACTTGTTGATCATTGACACCCCCTCCCCCCCCCTGCAATTCTGGTAAAAATTGTAATAGCATAAGATATCTTCTTTATTTAAGAACTGAATTCATGTTTAATAATTACAGGCAATGTATCTTTTTAATGTAATTTTCTTACAAGGAAACCTAGAATCTGCTCCTTAATTATGAATGTTGAATGTTCTGTCTTTTTCATGCAGCTTTATGATGGGATTGATACTCATTCCCGTCTCATTGGAACTTACTGTGGAACTCAGACAGGATCATTTAGCACCACTAGAAATTCTTTGACTGTTCACTTTTATTCTGACTCTGTATTGTCGAGGAAAGGATTCCTTCTGGAGTGGTTTGCAGTGGATCTTCCCAGTGGGATTTTACCGACCATCCCTCCAGGTATGTTTGCTAATGATTGAGGTGCTTTCTAAGACTGATAATATAGAGACCAGTATTGTAAGGGATCCACTGAAAACATCTGGAGAAGAATAATCAGAGCCCCAAACATCTTCCTATAAATGTCCACATATCTGCGTGTGTGTGGTGGCAGGCGAGTTGTATGTGTGTGCCATTAAGGCTTGAACTCAAGGCCAGGCCACTGTCTCTTAGCTTCTTACTTAAGGCTAGCAGTCTACCACTTGAGCCATGGCTCCACTTTTGGCTTTGTGGTAGTTAACTGGAGTAAGGAGTCTCACCGACTTTCCTTCCTATCCTGGCTTTCAACTGAGAACCTCAGATCTCAACCTCCTGAGAAGCTAGGATTACAGGCATCAGCCAACAGCACTGGCCAGATGCATTTCTAAATTCATACTATTTTCCTTCCTTCCTTCCTTCCTTCCTTCCTTCCTTCCTTCCTTCCTTCCTTCCTTCCTTCCTTCCTTCCTTCCTTCCTTCCTTCCTTCCTTCTTTCTTTCCTTCCTTCCTTCCTTCTTTCCTTCCTTTTTTCTTGGTTGATTGTGGAGCTGGGACTCATGGCCTGGGTGTGCTGTCCCTGAGCCTCTTTGAGCTCAAGGCTAGCTCTCAATTGATAAATTGACCCTCAGCAACACTTCTAGTTTTTGAGTATTTAATTGGAGTTAAGAATCTTACAGGGATTTTCTGCCTGGGCTGGCTTAAACCCCTATTCTCAGATTTCAGCCTTCTGAATCACTAGGATTATAGGTGTGAGCCATTGGCATCTAGCTATTTTATATTTTGAAAATCCAGATTATATTTTCATATAAATTAGCTATTTAATATTCACACAGTTTACTTTTTATACTTTCCAACAACCATGTAAGTGATTGCTCAAAATTTTGTAATGTAAATACCATACAGGTGTGCACAGACACACAGACACACACACACACACACACACACACACACACACACACACACACACACACACACAGAGTATTTATGGATAAAGCACTAGAGAGAAGTAACCTTTTTTTCTCTAGATTTACTTTTGTTAAAAACAGCACACTGAAAGTTTTATTAAAGCCAGTAAAGCTTAGTGTTTCCCAATATATTAACTCCTCAAGCATTGCACACAGTGCTTCTTATATATGTACATATTTAATTTAATTCAAGAGATATTTACTGAGGATTTATCACGCATGTAGTAAGGACATTAAGGAAGGAAATCAAGACAGGATCTCTCTAGGAATATAAAAGAAATTTCAGAAGACAAAGCCCTCTTATGCTATTTAAATAACAGTAATTAAATGATTAAGGGCAAATGCAAGTGGTACTGCCAGGAAATAAGCAAGCAAAGAAAACAACTTTCACATGGGACTAGGCCCATCTACAGCATATTCAACACCTCAGGTACAAAACCAGCCACAGTGTGAGTAGGAAATGCACTGTCATACTTCAGGAACAAATGTTATGATTTAATACCACATCTCTTTCTTGTTCACAGTAGTTAGCTCAGGTAAGTAGGTATCTACCATTGTCACCGTCCCTCCATAAATCAGGCTATTGGATTTTTCTGGTCCAGGACATTGCCTGTGACCATGGTTTGGGGCAAAAGATCTCAGGAATATCTCAATCTTAAAGTGCTTAGCTGGGCGCAATTGCTCATATTTATAATCTCAGCTATTTGGGAGTCAGAGAGTGGAGGATTGCAGTTTAAGGCCAGCCCAGGCAGAAAGTTAGTAAGACCCTATCTCAGAGAACAAGCTGAAAATTATGGTTCACATAAAATCTGACCCTAGGTAAAAATGTAAGACTTTATTTGAAAATTAATGAAAGGAAAACATTTTGCCTAGCAAATTCGTAATCAGATAGCAGTGCACATACGTGTTCAGTTCTGCATTCTGATTTTACTATTATTCTGGCAAAATGACTTCTAAAACATGAAAGAAAAAAAAACAACTAAAGCAAAAAAAGTGCTAATGGGAAAGATTTTTAGAGCTTCTGCTTAGCAAGCACGAAAAGATCCTTAATTCAAACCCTATTATCACAAAAACACACCAACAGCGAAAGTGCTTCATACAGAAGGGACTTGTCTTTTGCTCATAGTTCAGGGACTAAAACTGGCCAAAAGCCTGTTTCGATTGATCCTAGTAATCCAAATCCAACAGGATTTTCTAATACAACTTGAATGTCCCTTGTGCAGAATTTTTTTTTTTTTGTCAGTCATGGGGCTTGAACTCTGGGCCTGAGCGCTTTCCCTGTGCTCTTCAGCTCAAAGTGAGCGCTCTACCGCTCGAGCCACAGCACCATTTTCGGTTTTGAGTCTCTCGGAGTTCCTGCCTGGGCTAGCTTTGAACCGTGATCCACAGAGCTCAGCCTCCTGAGTAGCTAGGATTACAGGCGTGAGCCACTGGCACCTGGCCCTTGTGTAGAATTCTTGAGGCTAGAGTTTAGAGTTGAACAGCCCTAATGTGCAAAATATAAAATTCTCTGAAAACTTTTTTTGAGTGCCCTGTTGGGGCTTACACATATTTTGGCTTTCAGAACATTTCAGAGTTCAGATCTTCATACTAATGTTGTATGATAAACAGTAAGACTGTGTAGAGAGCACCAGATTCCAGCAAGTAAGCCAATATAAGTACATTGAGAGTCCCAGAAGAAGAGGTCAATGAGAAGGGAAACAAGGTTTGACAAAGTAGTATCTGAACAGTTATCATATTTGACAAAAATAAATATGAATCCATATACCCATGAAACTCAGCAGACTCCAAGAAGGATAAACTATGTACAGCTACACAACTGTCAACTGTCAACTGTTGAATAGAAGAGATTATCTTGAAAGCACCAAAGGCCCATGCCTATGACTTGTCATGTAAGAAATTCACAGTAAGAGTCACATTTAATGCTGACAGCCACAGGACAGCGGTTGGTGGATTCCCATGCTGAGATACAATGACTGTCATTCAAGAATTCTGTCCCCAGCATTGTATCCTTCAGAATCTGCACAGATGAAAACCTTCCCAGATAAACATACATTAAAAGAATTCCTTGCTCATAGATTTGCCTCACAAGAAATACTAAAGGGAGAGCTTCAGTCTGAAATGTGAGGATCTTGAATATTGTTACCACCAGTTTATTAGACAGCAGGGACCAGGGAGATACCTGTGTAGTAAATGTAAAAGGCAGCACAAATGTAGTTTTGTTTGTGAACATTTTCTTCTACCATCTTGCTATTAAAAGTTAACTCCGTAAGGCAATAATTATCAAACTACATCTAGACAAAACTACATCTGGATAAAAATGTATCTGAAATAATAAAGCCTGCAATTTTTCCTTATGCTTTACTGAATATATCAACCATTAAATTTAGAAATTATTTCAAAATCACACAGATAGAAGTAACATTAGCCATGCTGAGAAAAAGTTGAAGAAATGTCACAAGAAGGTGGACCGTGTAATAGTTTAATCTCAGTGACACAGGTAGAGAAATCTTTCCATGTGTGTTTATTCATGCTCAATTAAAAATCAGCACTCAATATCCAATGGGTTATATGGCAGAGTTTTTGGCAAAGAGGTAGAACACAATCTGTTTTTTCGTATCCAGAAGATAAACTACAGAAATGTTAGCTGAATGATCATTGGCTTTGACAAAATAACCTATCAGTTTTTATTCAGGAATTTGTCTCACTGGTGTTGCTTCTCTTCAAGGTAGTATTTTAAGGTGGAAATGTTCTGGTTCCTTTCGCATTAAGGGTGTTTCAACCATGCTGCTTTTCTCTCTCCAGGTTCTTGCGGTGGGTTCATCACTACAGGAGATCGGCCCATGTTTCTTTTCTCTCCTGGGTGGCCAGACACATACAGTGATTTCCTTGACTGTACCTGGATCATCCACGCTCCTGACTCTACTGTGGAATTCAACCTCCTCTCTGTGGATATTGAGTCTCATCAGACATGTCAATTTGATAAACTTGTCATCAGAGATGGTGAGAAGCAATTTGAAAATTCCCAGTTTCTGCTCTGACACATAGCCATGTTCAGTTATTCTCAGACTTGCATATTGCTATCGTCTATTGTGTATGAAATTCCATAGATACTGTGACCCCAAAAGCCGTCAAATTCCAGAACTGCTTACAATTTCTAGACAATATAAGGACAGTGTTAAGTTGCCTGTTACAATTGTTAAGGACATCCCATTCTTCCTACAAGAAACAAGCAAACAAAAATCTTGTGTGAGAGGTCTTAGTAGGGACTATACTCTGAATGTTCAAGTTGTGCTACTTTTTCATTCAGAAGCCTTGGCGGCAGATCTTGTGTCTATGGAAAAGTATTTATATTTATAATATATGTATTTCTCCTTGTCCCCTGATCCTGGGGGTAGAACAAGTAGAATTAAAGGGTAGTAGTTGTTATAAATTTCCTTTATGTACTGGTTTGGTGAAGAGGCATGTGAACATAGTTGTGCTGGACAGTTTGCACGGACTGAGGTGAGAAGTCAGAAGGGACACTAGAACCTCCAAATGAGTACATTAGCATTTGTTTCCCAGAGTGACTATCTTCTCCCCCCCCCCCCGCCCCCAGTCTTAATATCACCTGGAAAACTGCAGATTCTTAGCAAAAACAAGGACACATTTCGTTGTTGTCCCTCAGATTGTGAATTCACATCTAGCCTCCTAGACATTCTCTCTCTCTCTCTCTCTCTCTCTCTCTCTCTCTTTGTTGTTTGTGGGGTTTGAACTCTGGGACTGGGCGCTGTCACTGAGCTCTTCAGTGAGCACTCTACCAATTGAGTCTCAGGGCCACTTCCAGTTTTCTGGTGGTTTATTGGAGATAAGAGTCTCAGGGACTTTCCTGCCTGGGCTGGCTTTGAACCTCAATCCTCAGATCTTAGCCTCCTGAGTAGCTAGGATTATGGGTGAGAGCCACCGGCGACTGGCTAGACTCTAATTCTTTGACCTCTCCCATCCAGTGTATGTGTGTGTGTGGGAAATCAAATGGTAGGTGTATTTATTCCTCTCTATGAAAGACTCACATCTTCCCCCTGTTCCTCATCAACAAATAGCTGCAGGCACCCTGCTCTGAAACCAATGCACTCCTGTGAATATTAAATTTAAAATTTGCATAGTGAAATAAATCTATCCCACAGAAAATCTATTCTTAGTGTAAAAGCTTTTTAAAAAAATCTTCAGTAGATAACTATCAGTGTGCCAGAAAGGGTTGTTCTTTAAGATCACAGTCTATTGATTTCCATTTTGCTCTATCAGAACTTGGTCCTGGAAGCCTAGACCATAGGAAGTATTTTCTTAACTTCATTGTAGTACTTGCCTAAGTCACTAAAGGAGCCAAAGTCTGTTTAATACTCATTTATGACAGATGAATACTTACCTCGAGGGATTTTTGTGTGAGAATTGGAAAGGAATAAATGTAAACCCAGAGCAAAGACACAGCATGTGCAGGTGCAGAGTTCAGATCCTGTAGGTGGTCATTGCTAAGAGGTGTTTATCAGGACCATTGATCAGTAACTTGAAAAAGCTCATAAGAAATGATTCCTACAGATTCCTTTTAATTTCAAACAGGAGTAGGTACCTGAAAGCTTCATTCATACAGGCTCATGCCTGTAATCCTAGCTACTAAGCAGGCTGAGATCTGAGGATCACAGTTAAAAGCCCAGGCAGGAAAGTCTGTGAGACTCTTATCTCAAGGAGAAAAAAACAAAAAACTGCAGTGGAGATAGGGAAAAAAAAAAAAAGAAAAGAAAGAAAAAAGAAACTAGAGTTGCTGAGTCTCTAACATAGCAATGTGTTAGGTGGTGGGTATTTTTCTATTCATTTTAAGTGTTAAGCTTTTTTAGGAATCAGATTTGAAGTGCTGCTTTGTTCTTTACATCAGCAGGCTTTGGTCGTTGGGTTATTTATTGCTTCTGATTAGCAGGAACTTGCAACATTTTATAAAGCTGGTCAGTTGTGCCCCAGCAGTGACACATACCACAAGTGCAATTGGCCAGTCAGTCTTCAGAGAGGCCCTGGTAGATGGGGAACATTCCCAGGCCACCCAAGCACTCTTGGGAGAATGGAGTCATTTTCCTACCTGCTATTTCATTTGTATTGTTTAAGACAGAATCAGTCTTTTCTAGACCATTCCCCAACACAGTTTACATAGCAAACGTTTTTCCAAACTGAGATTCTGTGGAACTACATTGAGCTTTAAAGAAAATTAGAAGAATGCAAAGGAATTGAAGGAAGGAAATAGAAAGAGAAAGAAAGAAGGAAATAGAGGGGAAGGAAGCACTGAAGGTGAATGACTTCTTGATGCTGGTCTAGGACCAGAAGCTGAGGTATTTCAGACACTTGACCTCCAGCAGTCTGAATTACTGAGGTAGGAGCCTCTATTGAACACATACAAACACAACTCCTAGATCACCTTCTAGCCTCCTGGGCTCTGATTTTCAATTTTAGCTCCAGAAGCCAGTTTGTGGAACACTGAAACTATTTAAAAAATTTTCCTATGCAAAAGGGAAAAGGAAAAGGGCAGGCTATAACACAGCACAGGTAGGCCTGCAATACCCTTCTTTTTAAGAATCCCATGATCTCCTTAGGACCTCTGCTGTTCAGAGACAAATGCCCTCACCACCTCGGGTTTCAAATGAGAGTGTTCTCACACTGATGTTTCCTCTCTTCTTTCACAGGAGAAAATGATGTGGCCCCTCAGCTAGCCACTGTGTGTGGCAAAGAGATCCCTGGCCCCATCCGGTCTACAGGAGAGTACATGTACCTCCGCTTCACGTCCGACTACAGTAGGACCGGGGCAGGCTTCAACGCATCCTTCCATAAGAGTAATGTTCCTGGCATTTGACATCTCCTCTCTTCTTGTCTTATCTCATGAGCTCTTCTTTGTTTATTCCCGGTTTAATTAGCTCATTTTCCCCTGCCAGGACACAGAGTCTAAATCAGGAGACAGATCTCTTCTATCTATGGATGACTATCCTTGTATGTAGTACTGATTTCTACTACCAGAAACTGTTGGGCAAAAGACTGCCATGCCTTTAGGGGTCTGAGTGGTCTTCTCGCCCTTGGAGGAGGCTTGGGCAGGGTAGGCCCAGAGCATGGACCATTCCTAAGTGTAGCTGCGGGCTGTATTTGGAAGAAAACCCAAACACACAACACATGAGCCAAGTTTTCCTCAGTCTACAAAATAATGAGCAAACACGATGTTGAAGATTTTTTTCAATACCAATTTCCAAAGCCGCTTGAGGTTTGGTACAAATTGTCTATTGTCCTTGGAATACAAATGGATGAGATAGAAAAAGAAATGTACACAGTATCATGTATATAAGATGCTATCATTTCGTACATTATAGAGACTCAAACTTGTAGAAATCTGTTAATAACTTTAAAATAGATTCAATTTAAAGAAGTAGACCATGGAATGAGGAAAGATGGTCATATATATCAAACATAACTTAAAGGAGACTTTTAACTTCACATAAAATAATAAACCTAATTCTGTCTTTACTTTTATTATAAAATAGCTTTTATTATATATGTGGTGACAGACAAAAAATACCTTCACCCACAAGTAGTATAGGCAGTATTATAGTTTAGTGGTAGAAGAGACTGGGTTTGGAAACAGGTAGCGGTAACGTAATTTACCACCTCTGAAATTTAATTCAGTGTGAGTTTTCTTTGATCAGTTGATGGCCTGTTTAGTCTGTAACAACGGAAATCAATGCCTGTTCCTTCTTTCTTCTACCTTCTTTCCTTAACTCCCAACAGCTCAGTCTTTCTTTCTCATATGTGTATATTGATGTGTGTTTGTTTATGTATCCTTTCGTTTGTGTGTAGTGACAGCATAGCCAGTGTGACGTATATATGCCTATGTGTATGTCCATATTCAACAGATCTAGAAAGACGTCAAACTTTCATATGAAAAATGAACTCTGTATTCTGCCCTCCATACACACAATCTTGTTCATTCCCCACTTTTATCAACATAGTAAATAAAAAATAAATCTTCAAGTTACGTAAGCAAAATCTTGATGCTAGCCCTGATTCTGCATTTCTCATACCCAACATTGTAACCATGAGTAATTCCCAATGATTCTACCTTCACAGTAGCTCTAGATTCCAAGCACTGTTCTTCATTTCCCCTGCTGCTGTCTTTATCCAGACCTCTATTTTCTGCTCTTGTCCAGGGTCACTCCTCCTTGTTAGATACTCTGCCTCTGCCTTTCCCTGATCCACCTCTTACATTCTGAGCACTGCAGACATTTGATAACTTACATCAGCTTCTGCTGTTCTGACACCCTAACCCTTTGATGTTTCTCATTTGTCTCTTAGAACAAGCCCTTCTGCTCTCTGCATGGCCTAGCTTTAGAATCTCTCATTCCGCATATCCAGTCTGACTTTGTTATAACAGAGCAAACATTTATACTGGGGTGTTGCAGGTTCTTCTCCTACAAGGCTGCCTAGCTTATACCCTCATTTCAGCTTGGTCTCAGCTCAGCTGTTTCCCTAAGGATAGAACCTTCTCTAACTTCCCCAGACACCGTATACTGTGCCTTTCCTCCTCCCCCTTTATTTTTCTTTATTTTTTTTTATTATTGTGCAAATACCATACAGAGGGGTTACAATTACATGGGCAAGATAGTGAGTACATTTCTTATTAAGCATTGTTGCCTCCTCCTTTGTTTCCCCTTCCCATCCCTTCCCTCTCCACCCCCATGCCTCCCCCACCCCAGTTACAACCCCTCTACCCCCAAACCTGCCAAAGTTGTAAAGTTCATTTTCCGACATAACGTCTTGTACATCTCATTGTTGCAAAGGTTCCACCTGTATCCCTATTTAAACAGTTTGTTTTTTCTCTTCCCCTCCACAAATTATATCAACATCAAATACAGTGAAAGCAGGGCTTATACCCTGGCAGAGGTACTATGCAGATAGTGTGTGGTGATTTTTTTCACAATTTAATAGTAGTCAATTTACCTATAAGAGGGTGCTAAGGAGCAAGTGAAATTCTTCTAAAGTCTCTTCATCAACAACTTTAGGATACAGAGGATGAAGAATATAAGATCCCAGAATCCATAAGAGAGGTACATTTTTCACCTCTCAAAGACTTTGTATAGATTGGGTAGGTTGGCGAGCTGCAGGACATTCCATCTTGTGTGAAAGGCTTAGGAGGCAGAAGGTGTGGGCAGAGAGCTTTATGAGCAACATGTGTTCCACTGTGTACTTCCACGATTTGGGGAAGGATCCGGGCACTTCACTCTGCTGCCTGAGTGGATTCTCTCTTTCAATACATACTGCTACTCTACAGAGTAAAACATAGCACATTTTCTACAGAGGTTTTCAAAACATTCCTCCGCTCCATCCCAATGCATGTCTGTGGTCAGTCGAGGAATAACTGTCCCTCTGAAGGGGACACATAGCTGACCATCAGAAGCAGTATTCCAATCAGGTTCCCTTTCCCATAGATTTTCAAAGAGAGGTCATCCGAAAGCATCTCTTCTTGCTTCAAAAACTCAACAACGTATTCTGTCCATCTTTCCTGGAGGCCATCTTCCTCTGTCCAGTCCCTCTCAGGACTGTCTAAGGCAAACTATGACAGCCCTGTGTCCCTATTATGTACCTCTACATCCCAATTCCTAACAGCCACAATAACAGCATGAACTCCCGATAGTATATGTTTATTCAATGCTGCCTCTGCTAATCACTTCCTACCCTTGAGTCCCAATTAGTTTGGGGTCTCATTTCTTTTGTCTCATTCTTATTTTATCTATTCTCTTTCCTTTTGGAACCCCCCAAGAGAAAATCAGAAAGACAAAAACAAAAACAAAACACACAATCCAGTGGTCAATTCTGTTTTCCTAACCTACTTTTTTTTCTGTTTTTGAAAGGTTGTGGTGGCTATTTGCATGCTGACAGAGGGATTATCACATCCCCTAAGTACCCAGAAGTCTACCCTACCTCCCTCAACTGCTCTTGGCACGTCCTGGTCCAGAGTGGCCTGACCATCGCTACCTACTTTGAGCAGCCTTTCGACATTCCAAACAGAGACTACACTTCTTGCAGCCAGGGAGATTACTTGGTGGTAGGTCTGGCTTGCTATTCTCTCTAAATCCTGGTGTGACATTTTCTTTCACGGCCTATGCATTGATGGGGTCGTTTTCATTCTGCTTTCTCAACATAAATGAGTTAATGCAACTGTAATATGTCTTTTCAGCTAAAAAATGGAGCAGACCTCTCTTCTCCACCACTGGGACCCCAAGGAGGAAACGGTCGATTCTGTGGCAACCATCCTTCATCCACTCTGTTCACATCCGATAACCAAATGTTTGTTCAGTTCATATCTGATCGGACTCAAGGAGGCCAAGGATTTAAGATCCGATATGAGGCAAAGTATTTGGGTAAGTATTTGCACTGCTAGTTCAGGAGTAAAGCTATAATCAGGGTACATTGTAAGTTAACATGGATACGTCAAAATGAACCCCCCTACTACAGCCAGTCAATGCTAGTTAAAAAAAGAAAGATTATATATTATGAAAAGAATACGTCCCTATGTTCAAGTACTTACTATAAGCTTGATACATTGAATATTTTTAAAATGTGCAATTGTAAGTTAAACCTAAAATGAAGGTAGAGATTGAGAGTGATGCCTAGCAAAAAAGAACTGAAATAAAGCCAGATCGTTGAAGAGACAGATGGGAAGGAAGCCTGACTGACAGAGACAGGAAGTTAATGTTGTGGGAAGATACTGAAGATTTGAGGAAGGTAGAGATGTAGATGGATTTACTGAGAACAAGAACAAATAAGAGAGAACACACGGATAGTGATAGGGCTTTCATGTAGTTCCTTTTATTTTCTTTCTTAGAACTACAGGCATTGTGCTAAGGATCAACAGGGAATGGGGAAAGTACAATGTTCAGGGAGTAATGTTCCAAATGTCTGTTGTAACAGGATAAGGGCTCCATAGAGCTGAGATTGATGAGCCTACATTTTCAGTGACAACAATTTTTATAAATTCTCAAACTGGACAAACAAAAAAATTGATATTTGAGTCTGCAGCAAAGATATATATCAAGGGTAGTTGAAGATGCTGGGTTGTGATTCAAGGTTGGCTTATTCCTGTAACCCTAGCTGTTCAGGAAGCTGAGATCTGAGGACTGCACCTTGAAGCCAACCTAGAAAATTAGATTTTTTTTTTTTTTTGGTCAGTCGTGGAGCCTGAACTCTGGGCCTGGGCGTTGTCCCTCAGCTTTTCATCTTAAGGCTACTGCTCTACCACTTGAGCCACAGTGCCACATCGTGCTTTTTCTGCTTATGTGGTGCGGAGGAATTGAACCCAGGGCCTTATGCATGCAAGGCAAGCACTGTACCACTGAGCCACCTTCCATCCCCGAAAATTAGATTCTTTAAATAACACACACACACACACACACACACACACACACACACACACACACACACACACACACACACACACACACACACACACAAAATGGGGGAGTTCTGGGCAATGATAAATTCAGAATCTGGCTAAGTATCTACATGACAATGACAATCATATTGATTTGATTTAGCAGAGGCAGTATCTCTGTAACTAAGTCATTGGACAAGATAATTTCACTGGGACTTTATATCTGTTTATACTTGCCTAATGAGCATACTAGAATTGCCAAATAAGATTCCTTTAGTTTATAAAAAAGCTTTTTGTCTTCTTGCCCCAAAAGTCCAACCCATTATTTTTATGTCCTGGATCCCTTGCTCTTCCACTACATCTCAATCCTGAAAAAATAAGACAAAATGTATATCCATAGAGTTATACAGAGCTTGGAACTCTTCATCATGTCACTGAATCCAACTGCTCTCCACTGCCTCCTCTCCTGTGTGACATATCCTCACGTGTATCCTTGGCACTGTATGTCTGCAACATTTCATTAGCTCTATGAAAGAATATATTTTTTCTCTTTTTGTCTGTGATGGGGCTTGAACTCAAAGCCTGGGCACTGTTTCCGAGCTCTTGTGCTCAAGGCTAATGCTCTACCATTTTGAACCACGGGTCCACTTCTGGTTTTGTGGTGTTTAATTGGGCATATGAGTCTCACAAACTTTCCTGCCATACTTGTCAGCCCCACTCAACCCTTTACTTGCCTAAGGAGAAAATGAAATTCCCTGTGGAAGGAAATCGACCCAGAAATACAGATAGACTGAAATGCAGACAGGTTGATTGATCACACTGTGTTTCCTGACAGCCTGTGGGGGGAATATCTACATCCACGGTGCCAATTCTGAGGGGTATGTGACCTCCCCCAACTACCCTGCCAATTATCCCCAGAACGTTGATTGCATCTGGATTCTAGAAGCCCTTCCAGGCCGCAGCATACTGCTGACGTTTGAAGATCAATTCAGTATTGAAGCAACGCCCAAGTAGGTCACTTCTATTTTAATGTTTCTCCTACCCATAGCTGTCATGACTGAGAAGAATCTACTCCTTTTCTCAGCAGTACCTGGTACAGAGGGAATCATGGGACAAAAAGGCAATCTTTCTGTCTCCAGCCTCTCCTCTCTGTCTCATCAGCTGAGCAGATTAAGGACACAGATAGTATCCTAGTGACCCTGACCCTGAACACTTGCTCCAAGAGACACTAAGGGTGGTTGTTGAAGATTTATGTTATTATCTGTTCTTCCTCCCATAGGAAAATATAGTGCTTTGGGTAGAAGCATATTTATCTGCTCAGCCACTCATTCAGTGTCATAGATGATAATAGCTGCTTAACAAATGAGAGCTTGTATGACACCAGGTCACAACAGGGTCAGAAACAGCATATAAGCAAACACAGGCCAATTTCTTAAGCCTTGATTCAATAAGGATTTTTTAAGGAGTACAATACAGAGTATGCCTTATAGTATAAGAGACAAGACTTCTACACAGTCTATAAAACTCCTTTGGGGTTTTCCTTTTCATTAGTGGAAAGTATGTATACATTTGCATGAATGTATGTGTGATAGATAGAAGAATGTGTACATTAGCAGACTTTTGCTTGCTGTGTCTGAATCCTGAATGTAGTATTACGCTTTTCAATGGGCATTACTTGCCTGGATTTCCTTTCTAAGAAAACATTAGTAAAGACTTGGCTTCTCTTATTGATATAGAATATCCCAACTGAGATACTCTGTTAGTCCTGGTTAGGAAGCTGCTAGCAAAGAGTTCATCCTAAGTAAACTATGTGAGATTTTCCTGTGAAACAAAACACAAGCTCTGCTGAATTCCATAGGGGTCAGTTTGAAAATGACTTTCAGACTGATAAAAGTAATATAGAATGTAAAAGGTGAATAGCTATAAAGCAGCGTAGTACACAGATGCCTGCCTTTCTGATCTACTAATTATTGTATGAGCCTTAAAAAAAATACACCGCACTTTAAAATGACCTGACTTTTTCATTTATCTGCTTCATTATGCTTAAATAGCTGAAACAAGATGTTTCAATCAACAAATAACTGGCATGAGTCTTAAACTGAATCTTCAATGATTTAATAGGTTTCTCAAAGAAAGATAGTGACATCTTCATTATTAAAGCAATTGGCCTAATACATTTAATGGATTATTTTTTCCCCCCACTTTAGTTGTACTTCGAGTTACCTGGAAGTTCGGGATGGAGCTGATTCAAATGCCCCAATACTTTCCACGTCGTGTGGGATATCTTTGCCCAGGAACCAGGTCTCCTCAAGAGAGATGATGTATTTGAGATTTCAATCAGACAATAGCCCCACCCATGTGGGATTCAAGGCCAAGTATTCTATAGGTAATGATAATTTTTTCCATTAAATAGCAAAGTAGTGGTACAATGAATAGATCAAAATCATTCTATAACACTATATCTCCTTCAAAAAGTCTTTCTATTTGCTTAACTTTAAGAATTATTTTAAAAATAGACATAAGCATGATGTGGAAAGCCACAGGCATTTGACAGTGTTAATTCCTCCTTTCATTTTCCTGTGAGGACACTATTTTTAGTAGATGAATATTTCATATGCTTTTGAAATTTGTTTGTGCATAATACCTTGCTACATTGATTCCTTCTTTTCTTCCTCTTGCCACGAAATAAGTATGGTATTATTCAAACAATGAGCTTGTTATCAAACAACTCAACTATGAACATCAACTTTGATCTTATTGACAGAATTGTTGAGCTTTCTTCCTGCCAAGTTCTGTGGGCTGTGCCAGTAAAAAGCAGATATTCTAATGCATATTAAAAACAATATGGTCATATGCGCTTAATTATAATTTGCTATCTCTTAAATCGAGACATTATCCTAACCTATGTGTTTAATACTGCAAAACTTTTTTTAAAAGCCTTGCTATGACAAAGTTTAACCTATATCAACGTATATCCTGAGTCAATGACATATAATTCAATCTACCTATCACATTCAGCTAGTAAGAGATAATCAAATGCTGTTTTCAAAACCCGTTATGACAGTGTATTGTTTATTGGTAAAGAAACTAAAAAAATGGCAAGTATCACCAATCAAGCACATTACCCATTTTAACTGAGTTTAGTCAGTCATTGATGGCCTCACTGTTCAACAGAGTATGGCTCTATTGAATCATTGCACAGGGTACTAGACAGACCATATCAGTCTCTCAGTTGCCTCTTGTCCTGACGTGTACTGGCAACTAATGGCTCTCATGTAAGGTCCCAAGAGTCTTAATGTGACATTACAGAATGTGCCATTCAGTAGTCATCTTCCATGTGGCATTATTGACTGGACTTAAAGAGTTGTTTCTCTTCCTATGAACAGTACATCTTGAATAACAAGGCAAGGCTCACTATACATTTTCAGAGTTTTTGAAACTTCAATTTATATGTAGTTGTGCTTATAAAGTTTTCAAATGTGATGGTTTATCTGTTTAATCTGTAATAGAATCTCTCTCTTCTCATCTTGCGTAGCTCAATGTGGAGGAACAGTAGCAGGGCAAAGCGGAGTGATTGAAAGCATTGGCTACCCCAGCCTTCCATATCCACACAATTCATTATGCCAGTGGCATCTCCAAGGCCTCCAGGGTCACTACCTCACCATCCGTTTTGAAGATATTAACCTTCAGGATTCTCCTGGCTGTGGAAAAGACTTTGTGGAGATCTGGGAGAACAACACCTCTGGTCAGTGAAATATGTAGGCTCCCTTTTATGGGAGTTCACTTTTTCATGTACCTTTGCAGCCTCTATAGTTTCTTCTGCTTCAAGGAAGGCATAAAATCTATGGTTTACTTACTCTAGCAAAAATGTAGATCACTTCTCTCTGGGCCACACAGCAATTCCTTCCCTTGATCCTATTCCTTCAAAATGGATCCCAGAGCCCCTGGGCTCATCATGGAGCTCATCTTGAAGCCCATACTGAACGAGTGCTATGATAGGTAAGTGTCTTGTTCTGCTGACACTCAGAGCCCAATATAGTTTTTGGAGTGGCTTACATTAGCATGAGGAAGAGAAAGGGGAATGGTATCAAATGCACCCTCGTGGCTCTGTTGACTCTGAGCATTGCCTTAACCACACAGACAAGCTTTCTTTGTGCTGAGATACTTTTCCTGTAAGTGGTTGAATTGTCTTCAAATCTTTGAATATACGGACGTTTGAGTATGACTCTTTGCTTTCCTTGCCTGTAGTTATTGCTTCTTCATGAAAAAGTTTTGTCTGGTATTATTTTCTTTGTGCCTGCGGAATGCCTTACATAGTTGTTAAAAGAAATATGTGCATATTTGTACATACACATCTGTGTACATATGTGTGTATACATATGCATATTTGTATATATGCATCTATATTTATACATACTTATATATTTATTTATTATTTGACTTCCATAGCACATCTTTTGGGCAGATACTGTGGAAACACCATTCCTGCCCGTATAGAAACTTCTAGCAATGTTGCCTTGGTCAGATTCGTCACAGATGACTCAGTTGCTTCCTTAGGATTCAGACTGCAGTTTCAATCCAGCATTGAATGTAAGTTTATTGGAGAAATGTTAAGTTTATTTGAATGTAAGTTTATTTGAGAAAAAAAAAGATTGATTTCTCACAGTGTAGAGGAATCATGCTAGCATTGGCATAAAAACACTGTGAAAAAGCATAGTGTCTTCTTAGCCTGTACAGTTAATAGAAATGTGTTTCTTCGGTCACAGTAATAAATGAGAAATTACCAATGTGGTAACTACTACAAAGGAAGGAAATGAGCATTAGAGAGCTGCATTATGGGGTTGAAAAGAACAGGGTTCATCCATCCTAGCGTTATCTTACCTAGTGTTCATATTCTCTACAGTCCTGATAAAATCAGGTGGTATAAGCTCTTGTCTAAGAAACTGGATGATTTAGCCTTCTTTATGTTTACTACATTTATTAGTACCTCATGTGTCTTGGGCCATGAGGGCCATTAAAATACTGCCAGTAGCCTATCATCTATGAAAGCAACGATTAAATATTAATTGAGATTAAGAAGTGAAATTATGTATGCTCCTTAAAAGTGCTTGCTCACATACATACAGCAATAATGCCTCCCTTGGGATGGGGCTCAATGGTAGAGTGCTTACCTAGCATGCTAGTATCTCTGGTGTCTTGCTTTCATGCCTAACATAAAACCAAAATCATATGGTAGAGCACTAGCCTTAAGCAAAAAAGTTCAAAGATAGCTCCCAGGCCCTGAGTTCAAGCTCCAGGACCAACACACACACACACACACACACACACACACACACATACACACACACACACACACACACACACACACACACACTCACACACACATACCTCATATAGTAATAAATGGTGCAGTAATCTTTTCTAGCTTTGATTTGATTGTGAACGCTCTCATTTTTCCCCCTTGTTCAGCATGTGGTGGGGATCTACGGGTCCCAATGGGAACTTTTACTTCTCCCAACTACCCCTTCCCTAATCCTCACGGCCGGCTCTGTGAGTGGAGAATCACTGCTGAGGAAGGAAGGAAGATCACCTTAACTTTTGATGACCTGAAGCTGGGAATTCGACCATCCTGTGAGAATGAACATGTAATTGTAAGTGCTGCTTGTGGCTCTGTCTGGGATATCATGATCCATTGTTGAAGGAGTCTACTGTCCCATAAAAAAGTTTGTAAACTGGGTCAGAATATTGTGAAGCAAGCAACTGAATCGCAGACAAATTCTAGATCTTTTCTATAGAACGAAGCCACCACAAGCTGTCCAAATAATGGTAAATGCTGCTTTAAAAGACTATCCAATGTCATTAACATACATCAGGGTCATGCATGGGATAAACTTTGTCCTGTGCCAAGACAAGTGACTTGCCGGGGCACATCTGTTCCTTAACAGCAGCACTGAGGATCTCCTGAACCGGGATGCCAGCTCTCTTTGTTGCCAACTTCACGTGCTTAGACATGTGCCTTAAGTGTTCTTTGCTTTCTTCAGCTAAGGAAAACAAAGTCCATCAGTGCAAGTAACCACTCTGTGTGAGTACAGTCCAGGAGTATACAAATTGGATCCGCCTTAGTATATTTCTACAGCGACTTTTCCTGCTTTTACAGTGTTTGTTATGTCAGTAAATACCAGTTAACAATTTCTGGCACCTCAGTTTTCAGTTCTTGATAATGATTCTGGAGTTTTCTTACACCCTATGATGAAGCTGGGTACAAGTTCCATTCACAGTATCTGTAAATGTCAGAATCTAACAACTTCCTATCTGATCTCTCTACTTCCCCTCTTGGCTCCGTACACTCTCAACACAACAGCCATTAAGAGGCTTTCAGATCTAAGTCAAATCATGCTGATTCTAGAGACTGAACTCGCTTACTTAATGTGCAAAGGCTCCAGGTTCAGTCCCCAGCACTTCAACAGAATTATCTAATTAAATCAGAAGGTGTTGCCCCCCTCCAGTTAAAATTCTGTTCATGGCCACAAACTGGTAATCCTAAGTGTTCAGGAGGCTGAGATCTGAGGCTTGTTGTTCAAGGCCAGCCTGGAAAGGAAAGTCTACGAGACTCTTACCTTCAATTAACCAGTAGAAAACTAGAAGTGGTGCTGTGGCTCAATGTGGAAGAGTGCTAGCCTTGAGTGAAAAAGCTCGGGGATAGCACCTCTGCCCTGAGTTCAAGGCCCCCCCCCCCCCCCCACCACCAAATTTTTTTTTCTTGTAATTCTTCTCATCTTTTTCAGAGGGAAATAATAGTAAATCCTTAGAAAATCCCACCCAACCTGACAGTATTGGCTGCCCCTTTCTGTCTCATCTCCTTTACTCTCTGCTCTCTAGGATGAAGCTTTCATGGCTTCATTCCTGTCCTTTGAATATGCTGAGGCTCTCACATCAGGCCTTCACATAGACCACTGCCCCACTGCCTCCATTGGAGATGATCTTCCCGGATGGGTACTGGTCCATGTCCTTACTACACTGAGGTATCTCTGAGGCCTTCCCTAAGTACCTTGTGAAGTCCATTCTGAGACCCTGCTTCCCCACATTGTCATTTCCCAGAACTCTATACCAGCCGACATACTCATGTATCTGTTCATCTGTTTATTGCCTGTTCCCCATCCAGGAGAGCTTTCAGTCACTTACTTTCATTCACTACTCAGTCACAGTGTCTAGACATCATGGAGATAATCACCATTAACTTTTTAAAATAACAGGCTGCTTTTGTTTTCAGATTAGTTCTTCTATTGGATAGTGAATTTCAAAGACTAAAACCATCTGTGCCATTCCACTATCTTGTCTTGCCCCAAGGTGATCTCAGTCAACCTCCAAATTTTCCCAAGTTCTAATATCTAAAGAATTGAAATGTCTATTCTGAGACACTGAAAATGCAGATCCCACTATTTTACATGACAGCCAGCAAACGTTAGAATACTTTTATTATTATTAAAGGAACATTTTCCTAATTATTCAGTGAATAGATATGCAGACAAAGATGAAGCAGAAAAAGACGAATGATTCCTACCATGTTTTCAGGCATTTTCTTATCTCTTCTGTGCAATGCATAATGTGATATGGCCATAATTATGTGATATGACTTCCTGTGGTTATAAATATAATGGGTGAATAGCAAGCAAAATTTGGTTATTCAGAAGAAAAATTATATAAAATGCGGTCATACTAAATTCCTATTACTAAAATTTTCACATATATGTGGGATTATCTCCTTTGAATTTATTTCACTAGTTTCAGAGATAATTAAAACGTACCCTTACTATAATTGTAAGGGTTCTTTAGCACAAGTATGGGCATGCCTCACAGAAAATATAATATGGAGTCGGCAGCCTTTAGTGATGTGCTGATTGCCCAATTCCTTATTCAGGTGGGCTAAACATAAACCCAGAGACCTTGTGGAGTATTCAGATGGAAAAAGTGGAAAGCTGTTCCACCTAATGTGGGGGACAATGAGATCGTTCTCTCTTTAGGACACAAATAACGAAACAAAATGTACAGCAATCTCTACAGATTCCAAATCGGAACTTATTTGTCATTTCCACATACCTTCGCCATTGATGCCATACTTGTATTTTCCCAAATAATAATAATAATAGTTATTTTTTTACATCGTGGTTTTCTATGCCGTGATCACCAATTCTTCCATCCATTTTCTAACCTAGAACACAGCTCTGTATAATAAAACATAACTATTGGTTTATTTATTTTCTTCAGTGCTATTCTTCCTTGAGCCTTTATGAACCATCTGCAAGCTATATGCCAGCTGTCAGCTCAGGATTTCCTTTTATTCCTCTCTGGGGCTTCCCACCTGGCTTCATCATTTCCTTTTCTCAATTTCCTCCCCTTATTGAAGCAGATGTTCTGGTGGCTCCCTGAGGAAATGAGTACAGGTGATAGTTATTTTTCAGAACCTGCATGCTTGGAACTGTGACTATTTTACCATCATTATTTGGAGGTATAGAGTCAACAATTATATTATTCAGTATATTCCTATTTGTGAATGCATTTATCATCATTTTGAAGTTTTATATTAGTTCTTTTAGAGGCAATTTCCTTTCCAATTCTGTCATCTACATACTGATATTGGTCTCTGCCTCTCATACTGTATGTTTCCCTGGAGGTCTGAGGATCTTTGTCTGTTTATTCATGCTGAAGAATGCAACTTGAACATGATGTGAAGCTTTATTGCATAGCTGGGGCTGTGAACTTGTGACTTCATGAGCAGTAACTGAGGACAGGATTGGACTCAAATTATTGAGTTAACTAAGGTCTATATGTCCTTAAACTTGGGAAGGTTAAGAGTCCATTGAGGAACCACTGTCAGGATTAATGTCTTTAAGTACAATGTCTACATAAATACTTTGAACATGTTTTATGTATTCAGCATTTGCTTTTTTCATCTTCTCTATATTCTAAACAAATATGTTAACTTTCTTCTGTTCTTAACCTTATTTATTATACACACATACACATAAAAGGGCTGGGAATATGGCTTAGTGATAAAGTGCTTTCCTAGCATGCATGAAGTCCTGGGTTCGATTCCTCAGTACCACATAAAGAGAGAAAAGCGGGAAGTCGTCCTGTAGCTCAAGTGGTAGAGTGCTCTCCTTGAGTAAAAGAAGCTCAGGGACAGTGCCCAGTCCCTGAGTTCAAGCCCCGAGTCTGGGTAATAACAAAAAACAACAATAGTAACAAAACACATAAGAGAAAAAAGCCTTTTCTAACATCTGCCAAATGGAATAGGCAGCCTTTGGTGAAGTGCTGATTGCCTGATTCCTCATTTAGATGGACTAAACACAAACCCAGAGACTAGCTGAATGTGCAGATGGAAAAAATGAAAAGCGGTACCACCTAATGTCTGATTTTGTTTCTTCTCCCAGCAGATTTTACAGACTGTCTTGTTTCTGTGCCTATTTCTACCCACTTGTCTTCTGGGATTTGTAGTTTCAGAGTTATAAAATGGATTAGAGGACAAGAATGGCAAATGCTCAGCTTGCTTCTAAAAGCAGAAGTCTGTGTGATAGACGGATAACAGCACAATTCACAGCCAATAGGATTCTTTGGAAGTAGCAGACACAGAGGCAGGGGGAGGACATTGTTCATACTTTCCGGTAGATCCCCTTACCTTGTGGTTGGTTACAATCCCTTTGAATCTGGCCAAGTGCTGTCCTAGCCTATCTACCATATTATTGAAGTGTTTGTCACCTTCTGTTTCCTTATGCTTTGTTTTGAGGTTTGGAGTCAGAATTCGTATGCTTAGGGGGTATATTGGCCTGGATGTGTGTGAGGATCAGAGTCTGTTCAATAAATGACAGACCTGTTTTTCATCTGATCCTGGAAGCCAGAGAACATTTTCAGTGAGAAGCCTGAACTACTTAATGATCAATCCTAGAAAAGAAAAGCTTGCATCTTTTGTAACAGAGCACATTCTCCTTCTAGGTAGGATTTTGGTGTCAGAATCTGAGTCGTATTTCTGTGATGCAGGCAAATCCTTGATAGAAGAATACCTACCATCACTCAATTAGTAGATTTTTGCTTTATTTCTCACTATATTTGCATTCTGAAAACCAGACCATAATAAAATATTCACTTGGGATCTCATACTTTGCCAATTATTATAGCTATGGAAAGAGCTACAGTTAATATTTAACATTTTGAAATCAATAACGATCCCTTTAAAAATAAATAAGTAGGGTAGTTGAAGGTTCGGATCTATAAGTAATTAAGAAAGAACCACTGTATTTAAATTAAGATCGATTTTTTAAAAAAATTAGTTTTCAAGGTATTTAAAAATATTTGAATTATTGTGCACTTGAAATCACCAGAGAATAACATTTGAACCTGAGTTCTGAGTACTCAAGGTTTTGAGACATTGTTATACAAACTGCCTGTCATGAATTCTGTGAACTATGGAGTTTGCATGAGGGCACATCTAATTCACACAGAGAATGTGATTTTTCTCTTGCAAATTATACAACAGCTTTTCCTTGGTCACTTCCTGGTAGGAAGGCATGCCTACAAGGCTTCCACTTTAGTAAAATGATCTGAGACCACAAAATATGCCCAGACTGTGGTACCAGGATGGATACTATTTTTGGCACCAGGGTGGGTGCTGTTCACTATTTTATTTTAATATAGGGTTCCCATAGAAGATGGTGGATCTCAGCAGAGAATATCACCTCCTAGGAAATATAGAGTAGTATGGATTAGATATTTAAAGGTCATATTATTTCTCCAACAGGTGTACAATGGCATTCGAAGTAACTCACCGCAGCTGGAGACGCTGTGCAGCACTGTGAATGTGACGACTTTGTTCCAATCTTCAGGGAACATGATGAAAGTTGTGTATTTCAGCGATGGATCCCTGCCATATGGAGGCTTCAAGGCTTCCTACACATCCAGTGAAGATGCAGGTAATGGAGGATGTTGCAAACCCTCCTCCTCTCATCCAGACACACCAGAAGTGCCCCACAGACACTGTCCATAGCTACAGAGGCTCCAGTATTCCCTTCAATGTACCAAGTTATACCTGGAGTTCTCAACACAAGGAACACATGTATAAGGAGATATAGGTCCACTCCACACAGGAAAAAAAGATCACTTCAGAAACAATGCATGACTTATGAATTATACACCTTTTCCTTACAAAATACCATTAGGTGAACTTATAGCACAGTTCTATGTAAAACTGCAATTAGAATTGGGGCTTAAGAGACCATCTTGAAAAGTAAGTACTCTGCAAGTAAGTACTTTTATTGGGGACAGACACGCTATTTTCTTTTTTAGTCATCTATCTATCTATCTATCTATCTATCTATCTATCTATCTATCTATCTATCTATCTATCTATCTATCTCTGGTAAAGATACACGAACGGTTTGAATTTAATATTAACTATTTCAAAATTAAGCCAAATGTGGCCTTGACTGTAAATACCTTCCTACTATTTGGGTTGGTCTTGTTATCTAAAGATTCTTAAGTTTCGGAGGAGTAGAACTGTATTTATTTTTAAAAATGGTTTTATGCGTGCTGCTGGTGGCTCACGCCTGTAATCCTAGCTACTCAGGAGGCTGAGATCTGAGGATCAGGTTCAAAGCCAGCCCGGGCAGGAAAGGCCATGAGACTCTTATCTCCAATGAGCCACCAGGAAACCAGAAGTGGAACTGTAGCTCAAGTGGTAGAGCACTAGCTTTGAGCTGAAAAGCTGAGGCCAATGCCCAGGCCCAGAGTTCAAGCCCCATGACCGACAAAACCCAAACCAAAAAACAAACAAAACAAAAATGGCTTTATTTGTTTGGAGTTAGAGATATTCATAGGTTTTTGTTTGTTTGTTTGTATTTGAGTATTCCTCTAAATTAAATATTAAATGGACAACAAGCCAAAATTTGGTGGTACTGTCACACAGCTAAACCCCAGCCATGTACCTGTAATCCAACAAAGAAATTAAAAAAAAAATTTTAACTGTGAACCAGGCAAATCCTTTGGAGAATACCAACCATCACTCATTTAGTGGATGATTGCCCTCTTTTCTTTCCTTTTCTTTTTAAAAATGTTTTTGCCTAGTTTTTCTTCATTAAACCCACAGTAATTTTTTCCAAAATTTGCAAGCCATTTATCTACCACCATGATGGCATCTAGAAAAATGAGTCAAGGTCTGGGGATAGTGATGCCTGCTTTCATTCCAGTTACATGGAAGGCAGTGATAGGAGGTTCACTATCTTAGGCCAGCTCATAGAAAGTTACTGTGAGACTCTACCTGAAAAACAAACTTTAAAATCAAAAGGGCTGAGGGTATGAAAAAAGGTGAGGCCCTGAATTCAATCCCCTGTATTGGAAAAACAAGCAAGCAAGGAAACCATAATGAAAAAGAAGAAATCCAAATGGATGCAGTGATGATGCTATTGATGCTATTTAGTTGCTTCCCCTGGATTGTTGGTACCTTCTCTTAGAACACAACTCTTATTGTTAATTTCTCTGTTTCCTTGTGTTTTCTTAGTGTGTGGTGGAACTCTTTCTAATGTCCTTGGAGGAAACTTTACTTCACCAGGTTATAGTAGACTCACTAAGTACTCAAAGAACCTCAACTGCGAATGGACTATCAGCAATCCAAAACACGAGAACTCATCCATTTACATCCAGTTTGACCATTTTTTCCTGGAGAGTCATCAAGACTGTCAACCTGATGCCCTGGAGTTTCGACTGGGTGAGTTCCATCCAAAGTCATGCTGTTTAATTTGTCATATTGTTCGTATGGGTAGAGATGACAACAACAAAGAGTCAGTTGCCTGCTCTAGGCACCTAAGATCCAAAAGAACTTTGTTGAAACAAAAACGATTCCCAAGGCAATGAGCAATGTCCTCTTCTTCATGATTAAAACCAAGGATCAAGAGTTGAGTGTGATGGCTCACACCTGGAATCTTAGCTACTCAACCAAAGCTGGGTACCGTGACCCCTCCCAGCTATGTGGAAGGCTGACACTGGGACAGTTCATGGGACTCTATCTCACCTGAAGAAGCTGCATGTGAGGGCTGTCAACCTCGTTCCTACTATTGTGGGAACCAAAATAGAATTTTAATACAGATGCAAGCCTGGGGATAAAGTGAGAACCTATGTCAGAATAACCAGTGCCTAAAAATGTGCTTAAGGCATAGCTCATTGGTTAGACACCACCTAGTGAATGAGAAGTTTGAGTTAAAACCCAAGTAATGCAAAAAAAAAAAAAGGAATGAATGAAGGAAGGAAGGATGAAAGGAAAGGAGGAAGGGAGGAAGGAAGGGAGGGAGGGAAGGTAAGAAGATAGACTGGACTCGTACTTGGTAAACTGAACTCTTAAAAATTAAAGATACTATATCCAGCCAGGTGTGGTGGTTCATACTTATAATCCTATCTTCTCTAATGCCATAGATTGGAAGGATCCAAATTCAAAGCCAGCCTGGGTAGAAAATTCACAAGATGCCATCTCAACAAATAAAAAGCTGGGCATGGTGTAACACATGTCATCATAGTTATCTGAGAACCATAAGGAGGAGGATTATGATCTTCCACTTACCCCATCCCCATCTAAAAAACAACCAAATTAAAATGGGCTGGAGTCATGGCTCAAGCATCTGACTTCCATGTATAAAACAGGTCATGAGTTCAAACCTCAGTACTTACCCCCAAAATTAAAAAATAGCACCCAACCAAACAGAACAACTGTATATTCAAGGAAATAAATTTCACTTCCTTTTTTCTAGACCCAAGGCATATTTTTTCATTAGCTTGCTCCTATTGTTAAACAGTTTCTTAGTTAAAAAGTAAATAGGAGCCAGGTGCCGGTGGCTCAAGCCTGTAATCCTAGCTACTGAGGAGGCTGAGATCTGAGGATTGGGGTTCAAAGCCAGCCCAGGCAGGAAAGTCCATGAGACTCTTATCTCCAATAAACTACCAGAAAATCGTAAGTGGCGCTGTGGCTCAAGTGGTAAAGCACTAGCCTTGAGCTGAAGAGCTGAGGGACAGCGCCCAGGCCCAGAGTTCAAGCCCCACAACTGACAATAAATAAATAATAATATTATTATTATAAATATTCCATATTGTCACAGATTTGCTTAGGTCCACTTTTTTCCAAAACATAAAAGAAGGTTGAGAGCAGCAAAGCCAAATCGGATGTCAGAGACTTTCTTGGTCAGTTGTTGAAATCACTGGTAGCCATCTTGGAGAACATGGAAGACACAACTTTCCAAGAAAGACAAACTAATAGTCTGTAGTCATAGACAAAAGACTTCAGAGATTCTTCCTGATTCTGAGAGGCTGAGCGGAGACTAGAGCAAGGCATGTTGTAGTTTGGCAATGTTCTCCATGAAATGCCAACAAAAGCTCCCCATTTTTACCGGTCTCAAAACCACTGGCTTAGATAACCCAGCAGAACAGCCATATATTAAATTTCAGTCCGTTAAATGCAGTCAGCTCTCTATTCCTTCCGATTTAAAGGCAGAATACTCTATCTCACTGATTTATTAGGGCAATGATGTTCAGCTGACAGAACAAATAGGGAGCAGATAAATGCGAGCTCTGGAGGTACTCTATAAATGTTAATCAAATTTCTTTGAAAAGTAATCTTCATAAAACACAAAGAGTTCAAATCTGACAGTTACGGGTTGGAGTGCTAAATATTCTCTTCATTTCAGTTGATTGAATACAGGAAAGAAATCTTTAAAATCTCATGCATTTTTCACTTCCATTCTGAAGATTTATTTAATCACTATTGATATTACATTTCTTGTTTTTTCAGTGTTCTATACTTAATGAACTTTAACAAATACAAATAATAGTATTTTAAGTAATATATCTGCATATGTATGTACATAAATTTAACCTATAGAAATCCCATTATAATACAACTCGTATTTCTGTTTTTTCTCTTTTTAAAAAAATTTATTCATGGTTATTATAAAGGTGATCTACAGAGGGGTTACAGTTACATCAGTGTGACAGAGTACATTTCAGATAGAGTACATATCACACCTTCCATTGCTCTCTCCCAGTCTTCCCCACCGCAAGTTGAATAGTTCATTTTTAACATAGTGTCCAGTGAGTATCACTGCAACATTTGTTCACTGCAACATTTGTCCTACCATTTCTGTACCTCCTCCTTGCCCCCCAAAGACAGATAAATGAACAAACAAGACTCAAGGAAATCAAAACAAAAACACCAACAAAAAAATCCACCCTCAAAACTCCCCAAACCTCTTATTTCTACTTCCTGTAGTCCAGTTCCATAAATATGATTTTATATAGCCAGATGCACATAGCTATTGTGCCTAAGCGATTCCGTCCTAAGAATATCCTCCTTTGGTCTCACTCTGTATAATTTATCCTCTCCCAGTGTAATATTTTTTTAGCATCCAATGTACTTGCTTGTAGATTTAGAGGCAAATTCTAGTAATAAATTACTTACTCCTTAAAATAAGACACAAAGAGTTTATAAATTAATTGCAACTGGAATGATTATATATTCTATAGTCCCAGTTCTCTGGACATGGAGACAAGAGGCTTGTGAATTAGAGGCCAGCCTGGGCCATATCATGAGAAACTGTCTCAAAAATAAATTAAAAAATAAAAATTCTTTTTATTTCTGTTTATATATGCTAACACAAATTTGAAAACATAAGCTGGAAAAAATAAGGAATCTATACTTGATATCTGTCCATAACAAAACTGCATGTTTTTTTGGTTGATGTTGTGTTTCTTTCAAGTGGAGGAATTTGTTCTTTTGCAGGTGGTAGATGTGCAGTGAACACGAATGCATCTGAAATTATGTGTGCATCAATGAATAAGTAGAGTACTTTCTTAGGTGTTTCTACTGAATTCATTAAAGTACATTTCTCTAAAGATTGTAAACGGTGCACGTGGTCTATTTTATTCAGGTGATGCTTATGGGCCTCTGATAAACAAATTTTGTGGCCCCACACGCCCTGCATTTCCAGTGGTTATACCTTATTCTCAAGTGTGGGTACACTTTTTCACCAATGAGCGTGATGAGCGTTCTGGATTCAAGGCAAAGTATTTCTTCACAGGTAAGACTCAACAATTAAGGTCTCAATATCTGGCAATCAAATAATAGTTAATAATTTATATTTGTCTCATGAGAATACGACCTTGTATTTTGTTAGATTTACTTCTAGGTAGCTATCATTTTGTTGCTCACATCAATGAGATTTTTTCCAAGTTACAATTTTTAATCTTTACTATCCAGGAATTTAATTATTTTATACTGGATAATAATTTTGTCTTTAGAACAAAGATACTTTAGAAACTGTGGGCTGGTGGCTCACGTCTATAATCTTAGTTACTCAGGAGGCTGAGATCTGAGAATTGTGGTTTGAAGCCAACCCCGGCAGGAAACTCTATAAGACTATTACCTTCAATAAACCACCTAAAAGCTGGAAATGGAAGTGTGGTTCAAGTGGTAGAGCCTTGGGCCAAAAAAAAAAAAAAAAGCTAAGGGGCAGTCCCCAGGTCCTGGGTTCAAGCTCTAGGACCAACAAAAACCAGAAAAGTTACTTTAGATACTTCCTATATTCTTATTGGTTTTAGGGTTTTGTCTCTGACATTCTTTCAATATTCTGGGTAACCAATCATTTCTTCAGCAAATGATAGTTTGGTTTTTTTTTTCCTTTTTCATGCCTTATTTCACTGGCTAGGATTGCCAACATACTGTTGAACAGAAAGAATGATTGCATTATGTTTCTGACTTCCATATGAATGTTTATGACATTTCATTGTTAAATAACTTGGTTGTTCTTAGGTTTCAAAAAACCCTTCATCAGGTTAGAAAAAGTTTATTCAGTTCTTAGTGTACAAATAGTGTTTTTAAAAGTTTTCTTTATACTGAAATATTTTTCTCTTAGAATCATTCTTCCATTTTTTGGCTAAGCCATACTTGGTCAGGCTGTGTGTGTTGTTCATATTACTGCATATTAGTTGAAAGAGTTTTATGCTGCATTTGCATCTGTGACATTCAGAGTTTATACCTGAAAATGTAGCCCAAGGTGGGCAGCATGACTCCTTGCCACTTCCCGTGCTAATTAGAATGTTCTTTTCTCCCTTTTCACTAACAATCACAGTTCTACTAAATGTCAAACTTTGGGTAAAGGTCTCAGTTCCAGCCCTTGCTTATCTGGAAGTCCAAGGTCATATCTTCTCTTCCTACCTGGTCACCTCTGATGGTCCACTTATCTGACTAACACACATTTGTGTTAGATTGCTCCTCTGAATTATGTTATACTTCTTTTGGGTAGTTTTTAGAGATTCTCTTTTTATTACCATTTAATTTGGCTCTGAACCAAAATCTATTTTTCTTATGTGTTTATCTAGCATTTCTTCACGATAGGCCCAGAGGAAGGAGTGAAATGAACTGTAATTTATGCACATAATCGTCCTGCCAGTTGATTTTTTTTTTCTGGTCAGGATTCAAAGCAAATATTTGTACTGAGCCTGAGATATTGCCCATCCTTTAGAAATATATCATCTTTTCAACCTGATATGCTAATGTAAATTTAAAGCAATACTAGAAATTCATAATCAAATAAATCAAGTATTTAATTATGGAACTGGTAATTTTGTCAAGCTTACCTGCGTTTGGGTGGTCTTAATTGGTGTTATTTTCAAGAAAGGCAATGTCACTGACTTTGTCTCTAGTTCATTTACTGTCAATTTTGAAATGTGTTCTTTTTTTTTTTTTTACTAACCTTGAGGCTGTGTTTGCTATGTGATTCTATTTCATTTGTTCTATTTGTTTGTTCTATTCTTTTTTTTTTTTTTAATTTTTTTTTTTTTATTGTAAAGCTACTATACAGAGGGTTACAGTTACGAGTGAGGTAATGAGTACATTGTTACCCCCTCCATTGTTTTCCCCCTACCATGCCCTCCCTCCCTCCCTTCCCCGAGTTTCTTTTTTTTTTTTTTTGATTGTGATTAAATGATTACATAATTTCAAAGTCACAAGTTCATTCTAACTTCCCTGGAGCAAATTGTGTACCACAGTCTGTAATATGTAACAGTGTTCACATGTTATATACCGTATTTGTGATCAGCAGCATGGGGATATTTAGTAGTGGTTCAACCAGATGAGCGGGAGTTCTTTGTTTCTTAAGTCCTGTTAGTTTTGTCGTATCACCTAACCTTTTGGATTTAGCATCCACTTATCAGGGAGACCATGTACCGTTTGTCTCTTCGTTCTTGGCTTACCTCGCTCAACATGATTCCTTCTAGCTCCGTCCATTTCCCTGCAAATGCCATTATTTTGTCATTTCTAATGGCTGCATAATATTCCATTGTGTATAGATACCACAATTTTTGGATCCATTCATCTGTGGTGGGGGACCTAGGTTGTTTCCATATCCTAGCTATTGCGAACAGTGCTGCAATAAACATGGAGGTGCACGTGTCCTTGTATATTGGCTCCTGTTGTTCAGGATAGATGCCTAGAAGTGGTATGACTGGGTCGTAAGGGAGGTCAATCTTTAGCTTTCTAAGGACCCTCCAGACTGCTTTCCAAAGTGGTTGTATAAGTGTACATTCCCACCAGCAGTGTAATAGGGTTCCTCTTTCTCCACATGCCCTCCAGCATTTGTCGTTGGCTGATTTGTGGATGTGGGACATTCTGACTGGGGTAAGGTGGTATCTCAGGGTTGTCTTTATTTGCATTTCCTTCACCACCAGGGATGATGAACATTTCCTCATGTGTTTCTTTGCCATTTTTATTTCTTCATTTGAGAAGTCCCTCTTTAGTTCCCTTGCCCATTTAGTAATTGGTTTGTTAGGTTTGGGAGGGATTAGTTTCTTGAGTTCCCTGTATATACAGGATGTTAACCCCTTGTCTGATATATTGCTGGTAAATATTTTTTCCCAATTAGTTGGTTGTCTTTCTAGCTTAGTTGCGATAGATTTAGCTGTGCAGAAGCTTTTTATTTTAAGGTAGTCCCATTTGTCGAGTCTCTCTCCAACTTGTTGTGACCCTGGGACTCTGTTCAGGAAGTTCAAGTGTCTCTCCTACTCTGTCCTGTAGTAGTTTCAGAGATTCAGGTTTAATGTTAAGGTGTTTAATCCATTTTGAGTTGATGTTGGTGCATGGTGATAGGCTGGGGTCCACTTTTAGTTTTCTGCATGTGGCTGCCCAGTTTTCCCAGCACCAGCGGTTGAAGAGGCTGTGTTTCTTCCATTGTATGTCTTTGGCTCCTTTGTCGAATATCAGCTGGCTGTAGGCCTGTGGATTTATATCTGGATCTTCTATTCTGTTCCATTGGTCTTCGGGTCTGTTTTTGTGCCAGTACCATGCTGTCTTTGTGATTATAGCTCTGTAGTAGAGTTTGAAGTTCGGCATGGATAGCCCTCCCATATTGTCTTTATCCCCTAGAATTGTTTTGGCTATTCTAGGTCTTTTGTTGTTCCATATAAATTTTTGGACTGTTTTCTGTATTTCAGTGATGTATGTCATTGGGATTTTAATAGGAATTGCATTGAATTTGTATATTAGTTTTGGAAGTATCACCATCTTTACTATATTAAGTCGGCCTATCCAGGAGCATGGGAGGTCTTTCCATTTCCTAGTGTCTTCTGCAATTTCTTTCTTTAACTTTTTATAGTTCTCATTAAATAGTTCTTTTACATCTTTGGTTAGGTTAATTCCTAAATATTTTATTTTTTGGGAGGTTATTGTGAATGGGGTTGCTCCCTTTATTTCCCTCTCTTCCTGTGCGTTATCAGTGTATAGGAAGGCAACTGATTTTTGTGGGTTTATTTTGTATCCTGCTATTTTGCAGAAGTGACTTATGATTTCTAAAAGTTTGGAGATGGAGTTTTTGGGATCGTGGAGGTATAGTATCATGTCGTCTGCAAAAAGGGATAGTTTAACTTCTTCTTTCCCTATGCGGATCCCTTTAATGTCTTTTTCTTGCCTTATTGCCCTGGCTAAGGGTTCTAGGACTATGTTGAAGAGGAGTGGAGACAGTGGACATCCTTGCCTTGTTCCTGTTTTTAGGAGGATTGGTTGTAGCTTTTCCCCATTAAGTATAATATTGGCTATTGGTCTGTCATAAATGGCTTTTATTGTTTTTAGAAATGTTCCTTCTATTCCTATTTTCTCCAGAGCTTTTAGCATGAATGAATGTTGAATTTTATCAAAGGCCTTTTCTGCATCTGTGGCGATAATCATGTGATTCTTGACCTTGGCTCTGTTGATATGCTGGATTACATTTATTGACTTACGTATGTTAAACCATCCCTGTGTCTCTGGGATGAAGCCTACCTGATCATAGTGTATTATTTTTTTAATGTGTTTCTGGATTCTGTTAGCTAGAATCTTGTTAAGGATCTTTGCATCTGTGTTCATCAAGGAGATTGGCCTGTAATTCTCCTTTTTGGTTGGGTCTTTGCCTGGTTTGGGGATGAGTGTGATATTGGCTTCGTAGAATGAGTTTGGGATAGCTCCCTCCTTCTCTGTTTCTCTGAAGAGCTTGAGGAGTATGGGTATTAGTTCTTCTTTAAAGGTCTTATAGAATTCTGCTGTGAATCCATCTGGTCCTGGGCTTTTTTTTGTTGGAAGACTTTTGATAGCTTCCTGTATCTCATTATAGGATATTGGCTTATTTAATTGGTTAACTTCTTCTTTGCTCAGTTTGTGAAACTTGTATTTCTCTAAAAATGCATCCATTTCCACCAGATTTTCTTCCTTTAGAGAGTATAGCTTTTGAATGTTTGTTCTATTCTTCCACCAAACTTTGCTGTTGTTCATGTATTTGTCTGTTACTTTATTGTATTTATTTCCTTTACCATATTTATTGATTGTATCATGAAGTATGATAACTCTAAGTACTATTTTGGCTTTGTAGTTTTTTTAAATTGTATCTTATTTAGAGTGTTACACATATAATTTCAGATTGTGGTGGAATCCAGGTAGGAGAGAGTGGAGTGGTCACAAGCCCAAACTACCCAGGCACCTACAGCAACTCCTCCCACTGTGCCTGGCTGTTGGAAGCCCCTCCGGGCCACACCATCACCGTGAGTTCCTATCCCCGGGTAAACCACTTCCAAAACCAGGGAAATATCGTCCTTTCAGTTACCAAGTGATCAGAGTAGGTTTGATCATCTTCTCTCTACATTTCTCTCAGTAGAGGACAAACAAGGATTGCATGATGTTTTGTGTATATAGAAAACAATCCCAGTTGTAGGAGAGAGCGAGCGGCACCTTCCTGGTTGTGGCATGAGCTACTATTCTAGACAAATAGACTGCTGATGTTCTCCAAATGACCCCAATTCCTAGAACCATACCCTGTCAGGAAATCCTGTAAAGAACCTTCAATTCAGGCACCAGTGGCTCATCCTACCTCTACCGTTAGCCAAAGAAGAGAGTGAGCTCCAAAAGATCATGATTCAAAGCCAATCCAGGCAGGAATGGCTTGTAAGACTTCAATGCTAAAATAACCAGCAAAAAGCCAGATAGTAGATACAGCTCAAGTGGTAAAACACTAGATGAACAAGCAAGCTAAACAAACACAAGACCTTGAGTTCAAATTGTGGAATGGGCAGAAAGCAAGAGAGAGAGAGAGAGAGAGAGAGAGAGAGAGAGAGAAACAGAGAGAGAAACAGAGAGAGAAACAGAGAGAAAGAGAGATCCTTAATAAGGAAAGAAAGTGAAAGGAAGAGGGGAATTAATAAAGAGACAGGAAGCCAGGCGCCAGTGGCTCATGCCTGTATCAGATGCCTGTACTCAGTAGGGTGAGATCTGAGGATTATAGTTCAAAGCCATCCTGGGCAAAAACATCCCTGTGAGACTCTTATCTCCAATTAACCACTCAAAAACCAGAAGTAGAGCTGTTTGTAAAGTGGCAGAGTGCTAGTCTTAAGCAAAACAAAACAAAACAAAACAAAAAAAACAACCCCAAACAAAGAAACAAACAAAAAAACACACACAAAAACTCAATACCCAGGCCCTGAGTTCAAGCCCCATGACAGACCAAAAACAAAAAACTAAACATTACAACAACAAAAATCCAGAAGAGGCAGGAATACAAAGACAGGAGATTTGGAAGGACCCTGCCTCAATGTAGACACTCATGTACAACTCCTGGTGCTATATGAGTTCTTTTCTCTTCTGCAGCTTACCTTTAGGGACATTGATATCGAGAACCACGTGACCTGTTCCTGGGACTCCGTCACTGTGAGGAATGGTGGCTTACCTACGTCACCCATTATAGGCAGATACTGTGGAACTTCCAACCCTAGAACCATCCATTCTGGTTCCAACCAGCTTCTGGTGTTGTTTAACTCTGACTATTCTGTGTCAGGTGGTGGATTTTATGCTACTTGGAACTCACAAACTTTAGGTAACAGAAGCTTTCTCTGCACTTTGTTTTGTCTATTATGCATTTTTTCTTAACTAATTTAAAATTTGTCATCCCTTGCTATCCAAGTGGGATTAGTTTCAGGATGCCAGCAGCTACCCAAGTCTACAGATGTCCAAGACTCTATAAAATGGTGTGGCTATCTCAAGTAATTGGAATGAATGTTTGATTCCCAAGTAGTTTAACATTTTCAGAGCTTAGAGCCAGAATGCTGAGTTAAGAACAAAATAAGTTGTCCACATCATCAGGACCCTCAATTTATATGTTGTCCCTTGATTAATAGAGAGCTACTGAGTTTTTATAGGTGATAGGATGAGATTTCTGTTTTAGAGCAACTGCTGTAGTTTGCAGGTTCTACAGTACAAACCTATGATTTGAAAAGGTATGTGGCTCAATGGTAGAGTACTTGCCTTGCATGCATGAAGCCCTGGGTTTGATTCCTCAGCACCAGATAAACAGAAAAAGCCAGAAGTGGTGCTATGGCTCAAGTGGTAGAGAGGTCCCCTTGAGCTGAAGAGCTGGTACCCAGACCCAAAGTTCAGGCCCCACGATCAAAAAAAAAAAAAAAAGTAAACCCTATAACTCTTCTAAAAAAAGGAGTTGTATTGGATACTGTATTTAGAATCTTAAATATGTTACAGGACAATTGATCTTGGTAGAGCCAGTTATGAAGAAGATATCTGTAGAACAAGTCAGACCTTTGTCATTAAACCACTGTTGCTGTTAAAGTCATAAAGTAGTTTTAGATAAGCTCCTTGTATCAATGGACTTAAAGGGAAATCATTCCACGAAAGCCGTAACTTCATTTGTTTCAATGAAGTTCAGTCAGTTTCAATATAGCTAAATGGAATAATTTCCTCCAATTCAAAATCATTTTCTATAGTCCTGTAAATTAGAGTGAAGTTACGAGTGAGTTTGAATTTGCATCCTCATGTGTTAACGATAATAAACGCAGAATTTGCATTGCTATGGTATAAATTCTCCTTTCCCTCAAGGGGAGATTAAAGTATTGCAGTTGTTTGAAGACAGGATATAGTGTCTCCTCTCCATAGTAAGGGTTAAGTGGTCTCTGCTGAGATGTAATAAAGCGTTAGACAGGGGCTGAAGTTTCCTTTCTGTACCTTACATTTGTTGTGTTCTTTTTATGTCCCTGCCCTAAAGATAAGTCATGGGGATGGAAAGATATACTGAGATCTCATGTTTAGAAATGTAACTTCTCCAGCAGCCCTTGCTTTCCAACATAATTATTTTCCTTGAGGACTGATGATTTTTTTTTTTTTGCATGAAAAAATTCCAGGTTGTGGTGGCATATTTCATTCGGACAGTGGCACGATCCAATCGCCACACTGGCCTCAGAACTTCCCGCCAAACAGCCAATGTTCCTGGACAGCCATTACCCACGAGAGTGAACACTTGGAGATCCACTTTGACCGCAACTTCCGAATCCCCAGTGCGGATGCACAGTGTCAGAACAGCTTTGTGAAGGTTAGCGCGCACTTGTTTACTTTACTGGAGGCTAGCTGGGCCTTGGGAACATAAACACCCAGGCTGCAAAGGACTCAGAGTCATCTCTCAAAGAAAGGAACAGCTTCACTGCTTAGATTTCTTGGATGTAAAAATGAGACAACTGTACGTGGAGTTAAAATTTGATTTTTTGTTTGCTAATGCCTAAGAAAAAATAGCTAAACTGGGGAGATTTTTCCCTGACCTTTGTAAAATTCTCATGATCACTACTGATTCTTTTCTCCTTTGGAAAAAAAAAGAGGGGAAGCTATTTTCACCTCCTTCTTTCTGTCCTTCTTAGCTCCCTTCCTTCTTTCCTTCTTCTCTTCACCTCCCTTTTTTCCTTCCTTCCTTTCCTTTCTTCCCTTCCTCCTGCCTTTCATTTTCTCTCTTCTCTTCTTTCTCTCCTCTCTCATCTTCTCTTCCCTCCTCTCCTCCTTTCCCCTCCCCTTCCCTCTTCTCCTCTTCTCCTTTCCCCTTCCCTTGCCTTTTCCTCCCCTCCCCTCTCCTCTCCTCCTTTCCGTTCCTCTTCCCTCCTGTCTTCCTTTCCCCTCTACTCCTTTCCTCTCCTCTTTCTCCATCTCCTTTCCTCTTTTCTCTTCCTTTCCTTTTTCTTATCCTAAGAGAAGGAAGGCACCATCACAGGCAAAAATTTAACATATGTTACAAAAATTACAGAAAGTTGGAGAACTTATTGAAGCTTGCCTTGGCCTTTAAGAGCCTACTCTCATAAACAACCATGCGCATTAGCATGATGCCAATGGGGCAACGGTCAAGATTCTACTTCTCTTGAGTGATCCACACGGCAGGAACTTTTCACTTTCTACTGCTATGGACATGACTGGATCATCTGCCTCTTCTGCTGTGCTGGTTTCACTGTATTTGTTGTGTCACTAGGAGACTATGCGTTTTAGTGGGAAGACCACTGATCTTAAGGTCACACTATCCTGAAATCCACTTATATTTTCTATTCTCACTATCTGCATGTTCTTTTATGAGTTAATTAAACACTTGGGCTCCAAATGATTCACCCATAAAATGATACTTTATGATGGCTCTTTTAAGCAGAAGTATCTGATATAATGACAGAAACAGCCCTCAGAACTTGGAATCTCAAATCATCTCATGAGTAGAAGTAGCTTTTAGTTTATTGTCAATGTTATTATTTCATATCATCTCTCAATTTATGTTTTATATCTTAATGACCTATGGTTCCTCTTTGAGTAAAAATCCAATACTTAATATAAAATCTCTACATAATAAAGTACATGGAGCATACACTTTCCCAAATTGCTTTTCACATGAGATGGGTGAGCACATTACTGGTGACAAGAGGCAATACTACATACACAGACTTAAGTAAATCCCCACAACTTCTCTGGTTGGAAAAGTGGAATCTGAAAAATGACTCAGGCTCATTCCTCCACGGGACTGATTAGAGATCTTACTGACAACATCACACAAGCCCAACACTAGTATTAAATTGGAAACTTTTCCAAGGGTAAATCCCAGGAGACATACTCTATCTTCCATGGAGCTTGAGACTCTTCTTTCTGCTAGAGGTTGCCTGGGTGAGAAGAGCTAGTAAAGACACCCAATGGGTGTAATGTGGTGTAATGTGAGAGGCTCCTGCGTGTCTGTGAGTTGAGACTTGCCTTCCCACCCGGAGACATAGGGGCAGACCGGTAGAGTGGGCAAAGAGTCAAGAATGTTCTTTGTCCTTTCAAGCCAGTGATGGCCCACCCCTCCCAAAGATATTGGGGCAGCAAGAGATTATATGGGTCTTGAGTTGAGAAAGACACAGAGTCCCAACAAGGTGAAGCAAGCTCCACCTCCTCAGACAACACCGGCAAGATTCTATGAACCCCAACAGGGGCATATTAAAGCAGACAGGCCGTAATGATTTTAACAGTTGAAGAGCCATTAGAGTCACAGCCCCATAAAATGAGCAAGATCACAGATTAAACTTAAGCAGGGTGACATCCTACTACAAATGCAACACTTAAATAGAACCCAGACTTTCCTAATACAATAAAGAAAATGTACAGGACACAATAAGAAAAATTTCATCATAACAAGAACAAAGAGAGAGGAGGAAAAGCTAATGTTGTCAACACTGCAATAAATCAGATGTGAGAGTTTTGTGACAAGTATTTTGAAATAACAGTCATGAAAACATTTGAACCATTGCTGACAGGTTCTTTTGAAACAATTGAAAAAAAGAATAGAAAATTTCATTAAAGAAACTAATTACAATAAAAAGCCAAATGGCAGTTAAAGAATTGAAAAATGCAATAGGAACACATAACTTACTGTTTAGGCTTACTAGTGAAGTGGAGATGACAGAAACTAGAATCTGCTGGAGGATGGGACTTTAGAACCCCCCACCCCTGAAGAATTAATAGAAAATAAACTTTAATAGAATAAGAATTAATAGAAAGTAAACTTTAAAACATATTAATAGAGACGTAGGGACCTCTAAACAATATTCTCAGCACTACAACCCTACCAGAGGGAAAGGGGTGCAGGGGGGAGAATAATTAAAGAAATACTTGAAGGCTGAGGTCAAACAATTGTTGACTATGACTTTGACAGTTATAAATTATCCTTCAGGAATAAGGGAGAAATATAAACTTATCATATAAAGGAAAACAGAAATTATCCCTAGGGCACTTTGAAGATTGTTAGTGGAACTTTTCCAAACAAGCTGGAATGGTACAGGAAAGAGTCTTGGAACATTAACATAGAAGTGAAAGTACTAAATACTGCAGTGAAGGAAAAGACATACAGATTAGAAAAAGAAGAATTAAAACTATCAGGATTACAAGTATGACTGTTTTCAAGGCAGAGATTTATATAGTATCTTGAAATGTAAGTCAGGTAAAGGATATATTTCTTTCCTTTTTAGAAAAAAAAATTTGGACAATGCCCAGTATTTTTTGTGCTCATCCTGGGGCTTAAAATCAGGACCTGATTTTTTTTGTTCTTTTGTTCTCAATGCTAGTGCTCTACCACTTGAGCCACAACTTTACTTCTGGCTTTTGGGTGTTTATTTGGAGCTAAGAGTCTCATAGACTTTTCTTCTCAGAGTGGCTTCAAACTACTATCCTTAGATCTCAGCCTCCTGAGAACGAGGATTAAAAGTGTGAACCACCAGTGCCTAATTGAAATATCAATCTCTTTTAACTGGAAGACAGACAGAAGTGAGAGTTAGTGGATATTCTCAAGCCAAATGTCAAATGCAAATTTATTGACTTCAACTGAAGTATAAACATTCTAACCTTTATGAAATTGTTCATTTAAAAACTTGAGAGTCTATGACTCATTTCTGTAATCCTAGCTACTCAGGAGGCTAAGATGTGAGGATGATGGTTTAAAGCAAGCTTGGTCAGGAAAGTTTGTGAGACTCTTAGTTCCTTTAACCTACCAAAAAAGTCAGAAGTGGAGCTGAGGCTCAAGTAGTACTGCACTTGAGCAAAAAAAGCACATAGACAGTACCTAGGCCCCAAATTTAAGCCCCAGGACTAGTTAAAAATAAATCCTTGAGGTTGTTTATGGCAAATGTTTAGCCATTTATATGTTTCTGTTTAGTGAATACAGTGCAGGTATGTATATTTATAATTTTATAAAATGCATATAACTTATCAAATACATATGTTTATAAAATGTATAAAACGTCTTCAAACTGTTTCACTGGATAGTTGACAGTTCTTAAGAGGCTCATTAGGTAAAATTGGAGTTTTAGATAAAATTTGTCTTTCCTGACATTTTTATGGACCATTGCCATTCAGCAGAGCATCTGCCCTATGGTTCTCAGTAGTCCTGGTGCCCGGCACTACAACCTTTAATAAATGACAAAAATCATTTGTCTGCCTGGAGATGACCAACAGGGGGTACTCGGTCTCTGAAAAGCAATAGAGATGATCCAGGTTTAAGGAGCTGAGTAATAGTCCATCAGCACTATGAATCAGAACTCCTTTATACCTCTTTCCCTGAACTGATTTCCCAGTTGAAATGTTTCTTTATGGCTCAAGATTTTATTGCTCTTTTCTTTTTTTGAGGAATATTCTCAAAAGAGATATATTTGCCACAAGTAGTTTTGTATACTTTGATATTGAAAAATGTTGACTAATCATTATATCCAGTGACCAGGTTTTCTCATGGGGTGGTAGAGAGTTTCCTATGTATTACAGATTGTTTATTAGCATCCATGTCCTCTTCCTGCTAGTCATCTTCCCTTCTACAAATGTGATGATTAGTAATGCCCCCTCGTATTACCTAGTCTCCCTTGAGAAGAAGCTGGAGAGATCCTATAAATCAGTGTCCAAGCCAAGTGCCAGTACTTCATGCTTATAATCCTAGCCTCTCAAGAGGGTGAGGTCTGAAGATCATGGTTCAAAGCCAGCCTGGACAGGAAAATCTATGAGAATCTTATCCCCAGTTAACTATCAAAAAGCCAGAAGAAGAACTGTCTCAAGCTGTAGAGCTCTAGCCTTGAGCAAGGAAAAAAAAAAACCCTCAGATACAGCACCCAGGCCCTGAGTTCAAGCCTAGGACTATCACACCACACACACACACACACACACACACACACACACACATACACACGAGAAGGAGAGACAGAGACAGAGAGACAGAGAGGGAAACTATTTTTTAAAAAAACAATTGTAACATTTGCCTGTGTTTTATTTACCTCCCATATTTTTCCTATATGTTCATAAGTATAGTTAGTTTGATGTGTGAGTTCATTCAAGTGTTATCAGGAAAAAAGTAAGCATTAAGTCTTGTTCATGACCCTGCTAGGTGTGGTCAGGAACGGAGGAGACCAACGACACCCTGTTAGCCACCATCTGTGGGGATGTAGCACCAAGTCCTATTGTCCTGCCTGAAAATACATTCACTGCCGTCTTCCAGTCTCAGGAGATGCCAGCTCAAGGATTCAGCGCTTTCTTTTTCAGCCGTAAGTAGCACTGAACACCCAGCCCACCGGATAGGGAGAGAGTATGGGAGCCAGGAGCCAGTGGCTCTTGCTTGTAATCCCAGCCATTTTTCTCATGAAAACTATATATAATGTTTCTCATGATAACATTAGATGGAGGAGAAAGCTATGGAAGGGTGAAACTGATCAAGATGTACTCAAAAATGGACGTGTGGCATCGAAACCCTTTTGAGCAACTATTTAAAGATAATAAAATAAATAAAAATTTAAAAAATAAAGTAAAAAAATTCTGAAGTGTATTAAAGTGGCATTCATGTACAAATCACTTTTGGTCAGTTTTACTGCTTCCAGAATTGTAGCCAACTTTTGCTAATTTTCCTCTTAAGCATATCTTAATACTAAAGAATTTTCAATTTATGTGTGGCAAAACTTTCCTAGAAGATATATGATGTTCTTATTTTGCATATGGGTTTGTCTTAACACCAAAGCTTCCTTCATAGAGCTAGTTCTTCTTTCATTTGGACTATCTTAAGAAACTGCCTCTGGAAAACTTAACCACTTTTTCCTTACCAAGGAAACCACTGCTACCTGGAGAACAAGGTTAATGATGTTCTTCATTCCTCTGCAGGATGTGGACGCAATTTCACTAACTCTATGGGTTACATCCTCTCGCCAAACTTCCCAAAGCAATATGACAATAACATGAATTGCACCTACATCATCGAGACTGATGCTCAATCTGTAGTCTCTTTGACTTTCGTAAATTTCCGTTTAGAAGGTAAGGTTCTTTTCATTTTTTTGTTTTATCACTCCTGCAGAATGAACTGAGACTGTGTGTTCTTTGACAAGCATCTCTATCTCTCTTCTGCCAGCTGCCAGCATCTGGTGGCCACCTTTCTACTTTGTTTCCATGAGTTCAGATTCTTCCCATGTTATGTAGAAGTGAGATTGTGCAGTATGTTGTCTTTCTGTAGATGGCTTATGTCACTGAGCATAATGTCCTCCAAGTTTACTCATGCTGTCATAAACAATGGGATTTCCTTCTTTTAAGACAGAGTAGTATTCTAATTGTGTGTTGTGTGTGTGCATGTGTGTGTGTGTGTGTGTGTGTGTATGTGTGTTGCCTACTTATCCATTAATGGCCACTTTGGTGATTCTATGTCTTAGCCATCATAAATCATACTGCAAAAAACATGAAAGCATAGTTACCACCACATGCTTATCTCCTTTCTTGTGTGGATGTATATATTCATATATATGCGTATATATGTGTGTATATGGACATATCTGTGTGTGTGTGTATATATATATATGTATATATATATATATATATATATTTGGAATTACTTGATCATTATGTTAGTTTTACTTTTAATTTGTTGAGGAAAGTTGACATTATTTTTCCATAACAACTGTGCCAATTTAAATTTCCACCAATGTATAAAAAGTTCCCTTGTCTCCATGTCATAGCTAGTACTTATTGTTTATCTTTAGATAATAACCAAGGAAGATAAGTATATTCTTAAATAAATTACAAATAATCCTTAAGGGAAAAGCAGAAGCAGAGACAGTTAAAGGGAAATTTATCCAACTTTTAAGGAACACAGTACTTGTATACATTCTAACCCAAAGTGAAAACAAAGTGTAAAAACTCAGATTAAGTATCACAGAAAGAAAATAACTCTGAAATGTGTTATATCTTAGCAGACCATTTAAGTTACTCATTTGCATTTATACTTAATACACACACACACACACACACACACACACACACACACACACAGTCATGCCTATACTGTAAATTAAGCAGTGAGTGAAACTATGTTAGTCAGCCAAAGCAGGTACATGGGTCGGTAGATGAATGAGATTGATTAATATATTTCTATGATTAAAGATGACCATTGCATATCATTTCATCTCCCTTTCTGTGATCTTCATCTCCCAATCCGGATTCCTCAGAGCTGAAGTCTTTGAACACAAGTTCGTCTCTGTGTGTTTCACAACTCTAGAGAACAGGCTGGCAACAAGTTGAACAGAAGAACTGCTGGTTTGGGCCAGGATCTGGCTAATTATAGATACAAAAGTTGTTTAATTGGTCCTGTGGCACAGGAAGTAAATTGTAAATCCCTGCAAGTAGATGGTTGTATTTAACCAGTCAAAGTCATACCTATGTATGTAAAGTTTATCCATATGTAACATAATTAATCTATAAGTTTGTCAAGCTTCTTCTACAGAGTCAAAATTTCACTCTATTTGGGTTAGTGTCTTGGTGCAGAGAAGAGTTACACTTAGGAAAATGCTCTAGAATGCTCAACGTCCAAGAAATATAATGCTTATATTTGCAGGATTGATGCCAATGGTGTGTTAGTTAGTATAAGGGACCCTATTCCTGCCTTAAACATTAGCTCCTTGAGCTTAGTGGACAGAGTTGAATAAAGAGCAATCATACTCTAGAGTTACTTGCAGGCACTGTGGGGGAGAGATCACAGCATTTTAGGATGAGTCATAATGTCAGCCCAACCACATGACTGTGGGCAAATCACTCCTTCATTCTGATAACATATAGTCAGTCATACACCACATAAGGCTGATTCAGTGGACAATGGTTTACATGGTGGCAGTGGTCCCATGACACTCTAGAGCCTAGTGACATTACTACCATCCTGATTCATGGAAGTTCTCTAAATGGTGAAGTCACCTAATGACACATTTTTCAGAATGTTAAGAGTGCATGACTGTACTTCTAAAATGGTGGTTATGAAAATCTATTAATGCAATTTCACTGAGGAATTTGCTAATCCCCACCCAGTTGAACAGACTGATTTTTTTTTTTTTTCTGGTTAGATGATATCCTTGTGGTAATGTCTGTGACATTTCCGGTGTTACAAGTACTTAGCATTTTTAAACTGCTAAGTGGATAATTTCTGGCTGTAGATGAATTGAATTACGATGAGTCCCCAAAGGGCAACATTAATCAAGTTTATAATTAGATTCTTATCACTGACCATATCAACGATGACAGGTATTGAATACTAAACGCGTTAGAGATTCATTAGCTACAGTGAAAATAACCTTTTCTCCATCCCTTCCTGAGGGGACCTACGTGCACTTTTTATCCTGATACAACTGAGAATCGATCTAAAGGAAGGTCATAGTTTTGCTGAAGGAACATTGGTCTTTCTAACTGCTCTGGGTAACAGGAATTTGTTGACTCAGAGCATTTCTGATCCCAACACACACACACACACACACACACACACACATGCCAGAAATCCATTTCTGATCCCAATACACACACACACACACACACACACACACACACACACACACACACACGCCAGAAATCCATTTCTGATCCCAACACACACACGCACACACACACACACATATACCAGAAAGCCACTGTTGACAGAGGGGGAGTCAACACTCTGTAACTGGTATCATATCACATGGAAAAGATGGGCTCACCTGGGCTGCAAAGCATTATGGGAAGCATTCTTTTCCCTGTATTGTGTCTACTCAATGCTGATCACTGGCTAGGGGATCCAGGCAGATCTACTGCTATGTAGCATTGCTTCACACAGTTGCCAGGCCTACCAGGAAATCCGGACTTCTCAGCAGCCCACTTTACACTCATCACAGAGGACCTTGCTCTAAAACTCTGCTATTTCACATCAGCTTAAGCATCTCTAGCTTAATCATTTTACATTTCCCATGCTACTATTAATTAATACTAGACTATTAATGTTTATGCTTATTGGGGAATAAGGTGTTGTTCAATATTTACTTTCTTTTCCCAGATAATAAGTAACCCAGAAATATATTTTTGTGAGCTGCCCTCAAGCTACTGAAAAAATCATGTCTATTTTCTTTAACTTTATAAATAAAAGTATTCAGCAAATGAGATAACCAATGGCAAGACAGTGCTTTCAACCATTTCTTCTGCTGTTAAAATTTGATATAGCTAGGACCAGTGGTTCATGCCTATAATCCTAGCTGCACAGGAGGGGGCTGTGACCCAGGGTTTACAGGAACGTCTGTGAGACTCTTATCTCCAATTAAATACCCAAAAGCTGCAAGTAGAGATATGGCTCAAGTGGTAGAGTGAAACCCTTGAGCAGAATAGCTCAGGGACAGTGCCCAAGCCCTGAATTCAAGCCCTAGAACTAGTAAACACACACAGAAAAAGGGATATAGCATTACTTCATCTTTGTGATAATGAGCGGTTTTGATTTTTATTTTGTGCTAAAGATGTGATATTCACAGTTCATGTTTCTAGCCCTTGAAGTGTTCTCTCTTTTCTAAAGACTGGGTCTCACTATATATTTCAGGCTGACTAGAACTCTCAATTGTTCGATCTCTGTCTCCTTGGAATGTTGGGATTATTGCCACACAATACCACTACACTATAGGAATTTCAGATGAAACTCTATATCTAGGTCAACCACAAACTCAATATTTCTCAGATCCAGGGTAACACTAGAGACACAATGACCAGTACCGAAGTACTTAGCATATGGGACAGGGCTCACCAAAAGGCCAAGTACTTTTATTCATTGTGCTCAAGGTATATTCTCTAAAGTCCTCAGAGGGACAGACTAGGTTTCCAGAGCAATTGGCTGGGAAGACCTACCTAAGGTTTGCCTAAATTCTCATTGCTTAGCTTAGAAGTCCTGGCTTACAATCTGCAGCTAATGCAATACTCAGAGGAGAAGGAAAGAGAATTTATTTTGGAATTTTTTTTTGGAGCATTTTCTCAACAAGAAGCATAATCATTGAGTGTCTCTAGGTGTTTTATGTCACATTTCCTTATTTTTTGGTTTCCTTTTTTGGTGGCTGTCTGGCTTGAACTCAGGGCCTGGGTGCTGTTCTTGAGCTCTTCAGCTCAAGGCTAACGCTCTACCACTTGAGCCACAATGCCAATTTCGGTTTTTGAGTGGTTAATTGGAGATGAGAGTCTCACGGGGACTTTTTCTACCTGGGGCAGCTTCAAACTTTGATCCTCAGATCTCAGCTCCTGAGTAGCCAAGATTACAGGTGTGAGCCACTGTACCCAGCAATTTCCTTCTATTTTAAGGTATTTTTTGTAGATTTTTTTGAAAGGTTGTTCAATTACTTGCCTTTTTTTTTTCTTTCTCATGTCTTTCTAAAAAAAAATTAATAATTTATTACAAAAATCTTTTTTTAAAGAAATTGGGTAATGAGTGGTACTGTGGCTCAAGTGATAGAGTGCTAGCCTTGAGCTAGCACAAAGAGGCTCAGAGACAGAGTCCAGGCCTTGAATTGAATGATACAGAATGTTACAACTACTGAATTCTTGGCTACAGATGTTTATATGAATGTTGGAAAGGACTGTTCAATAAACAATAAGCGCTTTTGAGTGATCTCTCATAGTAGGAGTCTCTTGGCCATGCATAGCTTTGAGCAAAGGTTCTCAGTAGGGGAGCCATTGGCATGTTTGCATCAGGAAGGCTCCAGATGTTGGTAAGTTCTTGTACATTGAATTATGCAAAACACAAACACACACACACACACACACACACACACACACACACACACACACACACACACACACACACAAATACAAAGGTATCCCCTGGGAGACAAAATTGTAGTTTATAATCACTGAATCAAATGAACCATTTTGTAAACAAAGAAAATTCTGGATGGATTGAAAGTAGACAGTGTCCATTCTGAAATTCTCCCTTTTCTCATGACTTATCTTTGGTGAATAGGCTTTCATCAGTACACAGAGCTCCATGTTTACAGAACAAAATACCTTGATACCTTCAGTGTCCTTTCAATTCCTCCCCCAATGGTAGGAATTGTCCCAGCATTTTGCTTTTGTGTGTATTGCTTTGCTTGTCTGTGTTGCTTGGGATCCTAATCCTGTTGTTCCCTGCTCTGTCCAGCCCGCTCTGCCGTCACCGGAAGATGTGACCATGATGGCCTGCACATTATCAAAGGCTACAGCCTCTCCTCTACTCCAGTCGCCACTGTGTGTGGTTCTGAGACCCTGTCACCCCTCACCTTGGCCGGTCCAGTATCACTCAATTTCTACTCTAACTCACACATCACAGACTATGGGTTCAAGATTTCCTACAGCATAAACCGTGAGTAGTTACAATGGTGATTTTTTTTTTTCTTGTGTAATTCACACGAGGCATTTTATTGTGGCTCATCACACATCACCACATCACCAAAAAAAATTTGGAGACTTCAATGGAAAAAAAAAAAAAGATCAATTAGGTACATGGTACAACAAATACTAAGGTATTTAGAAAGAGATATTCCCATAAACTTTGGATGGACCTACTATCTTAAAATCAAATGAGATTTCTTTTTAAAGATATAAATGAATATTGTTACTGTCTTTAGATTGTTTTTTGTGGGGAGGACTGGATTATTGTTTTGGGGGGGCTGGATTATTCTGAATTAACCAAAAGCATGTTTGATTTTCCAAATTACTTTATTAATGTGAAAACTAGTATTTCTAAACTTAGAAGAAATGTAAGAGAATATCTTTATGAAAGAGGTTTTTGAAAAAATATACAAGCAAAGACTGACATATTCAATTTTTCTATCATGTATAATCTCTTGGTAGCAAAGACGAAGACAAGCCACCAACTGGAAAGGGATGTTGTAGTTAAAAGATAATCTGTATTTCCCTTTCTCAACTCACTTTTCTCCTGCTGGGCTTCTCTGCTATCAGTATTTCCCCTGTAATTTCTCCACTTCAGTGAAAAAGGCACACAATATTGTAAAAAGGTTTCCTGGTCTTATCTTGTCTTTACTGGATCAAAAACCCTTTGCAAAAATTAGAATGTTAAAGAGTTTCCATTCAATTGAATTACTTTTCTCACCCATAAAGAAGATTAAAAATGCTCACTTGACAATGAAAACGACCTACCTCCATCTTTCACATCTGCTGCTCTCTGACTTCTGATCCCAGTAGTTGGGTTTGTTGACTAGAAGTGAACAATTAGCATGTCTCCCCACCACAGCCCCATCCTACGGACTGAAGACAGGGACTGAGTGTGGGTTTTTTGTATGTTTTGTCTTTGTTTTGCAAATACTGTTTTGGATTGCTAACCCCCTACTTTCTTCTGTTCTTTATTTCTTCCTTTTTCTAAAAAATTATCATATTGGGGAAGCTATTACTTTATTTACTTCATAAACAATTATGTGGCCCTGGTGGTTTATCGATGCCTAAATAAGTTTATCATCATCCACTGCCAAGCTTTGAAGTCAGTATCAACCCCACTTCTCAAGCAAGACTGATTTGCTAGGTATATTGAACCGTTACCAGTCTCACAAATAAACACAGATAAAGAACACACAGAGGGGACCAAACCAGAATGTTCCAAGAATGGTTTCTAATACTTGACATTGTGATGTCCTATCCTTAACAGAGAAGAACTAAATCTACATGATTTAACATTTCTAGAATGCAACCTTCCCCAAATATCTATGGCTAGAGCATGCCTTGAATTGTGTCTGCTTCCTGCTACTCCCTAGCTACCCAGCACCCCCTGTTCCTCCGACCTCCTCTGGAGCCCTCTGCCTGCCTTTTAGAAACATCTCAAAATCTCTGTCATCTCTCCTACTTTATCAGTTAAGCTGAAGGAAAGGACCATTGCATCTCAAGATGTGAAATGTTCTTTATGACTTTCAATCGGACTTAACTTGTTTCTGAAGTGTCCCTTAAACCTTTCTTTCTTGTTTCTATTTCTTTATGGTCTGTTATTTCTTACCCAGTGGTAAACATCAGAATTATTACTAAACACACCTCCTTTAAAGTTATTGTTGTCTCTTTTAGAAAAATAATACCATAGTACAGGATATTTCAAACTTAATTTTCCACCCAGCACTATAATCCTAGCAGCTCAAGAGGCTAAGATCTAAGGAGCAAAGTTCAAAGCCATCCCAAGCAGGAAAGTCTGTAAGATTCTTATCTCCAATTAACCACCGAATAAGGCTGGGATTGGAGCTGTGGCTCAAGTGGTAGAGTGTTCGTTTTAAGCAAAAAAGCTTAGGAACAGAATCCTGCCCTTGAGTTCAAGCCCCAGTAATGGCATACACTCATAAATACACACTTTTCCATGCAGTGAGTGTTAATTGTGTGTTTGTGTTCCTTTGCCTTCTGTTGCAGCCTGTGGTGGTGAGTACAATGCATCCTCTGGAACTCTCAGGAGTACTTCCTATTCATTCAAAAACTACCCAGACAACCTTTATTGCTTGTACAAAATCACCGTGAGGGAAGACAGAGTTGTTCAACTCAAGTAAGTGAGCCTCAATCACTTTCAAGGCAAACACTTTCTGCTTTATTCCAAGAAGAGCTATCTGTGACTGACAGAAAACCTGGATTCTCACTGGTCTAGAAGGAATCTTGTAGAGAAAGAGATCAAGGGTTCTCATTGCAGTGAAACCTGGGAAATGGACCTCTCAATTTCTATGCAACACTATGGAGATTCATAGGAAATCATTGGTACAATTATTATATTGTTACAAATTGTTACAATTTCCCAGCAATTCCAAAACAGCCAAATGGTTGTCTTGTACTGAGTCCACACTGAAATCCAAGATGGTGAGAAGGTAGATACAAGTTGTTGGATATTTATGATATACCAGAATTATTGCTTAGTACTTTCCTATTTTATTCCTTTTTTTTCTTTTTTTTTCTTGTCTTTCGGTTATGGGGCTTGAATTCTGGGCCCCGGCCCTGAGTTCTTCAGCTCAAGGCTAGCACTCTACAACTTCAGGCACAGCACCACTTCCAGTTTTCTGATGGCTTATTGGAGATAAGAAACTCACAGATTTCTGTCTGTGCTGGCTTTAAACTGTGATCCTCAGATCTCAGCCTCCAGAGTAGCTGGGATTACAGATGTAAGCCACCGGCACCTGGCTTCCTATTTTATTCCTAAGAGTTTTGCAATAGAGATCAATATTTCACATTTCATCAATAAGAAAATGGAGACTCTCTGAGAGCAGAGTATCTTTCCCAACGTCATATACATTTAAACAGAGTCAAATCTGAATCCCTGGCAGGTATCTTCCAAAAACACGTCTCTGTGCTGCCTCTCAAAGATGAATTTCCTATGAAAATTATTCACTGTTTCTGGAACACTTCTAAACTAGTTCTGTATGAGATACGTTATCTCTTTTTTTTTTTTTTGGTCGGTCGTGGGACTTGAACTCTGGGCTTGGGTGCTGTCCCTGTGCTCTTAAGCTCAAGGCAAGTGCTCTACCACTTGAGCCACAGCACCACTTCCGAGATACATTATCTCATGAGGAAATTCTCTTTCTTATTCTGCTTAATCTCAGTAAAACTGATGAAGGGCAGGCAGCTTTCTACTCTTCAGAGTAGATCAAGAATGCCTGCCTGTGCCTCAGATGACATAGAGCTAACACCTCGGTGTCCAAAATAAATAGGGCATGGCAGGAAATTCTGAAAGTTGGTCTGGTTCATGGAAATACGGGATTTTCCACACTGCAGTTTGATGGGCTGGGACTCTAAATATTTCCCATTCCCCTATTTGTCTGTGCCTATTTTCTGCCCAGAAGACAATAAACTCTCTACTCTACCAAGGACCTCATGTATGTCAGCTGGTGAGACAGTTTTCACCGAGCTCAATTTGATTCCTTTTTAGGACCTAGGGATAAAAGAAGAGGAAGAACTTCCAGGTTCCTCCACTGATCAGGCTGTTATAACATAATACTATAAGATGAATAGCGTATAAACAACAATAGTTCTCATAGTATCGGAGGCTGGGAAGTCTGGGACAGGTATCTGGTGAAGATCCACTTCCTGGCCCATCTAAGGTCCCTTCTATGTGTCTTTCTTGGGCCTCTTTTCTTTCATAGGACCAGTAATCCCATTATGGGGGCTCTGATCCAAAGACCACAGCAGATAATACTTTCCCTTTGTGTTAAGATTTTAGCATAGGAACTTGGGGAGACACAAACATTTAACTGACATCATAACAAAGAATATATATATATATATATATATATATATATATATATATGAATATATAACATGTTTCAGCTTAGATTTTTGAGTTTACCATATTATAGTTCATATATGAATGCTGAATAGTTATTCATTGTACAGTTAGCATAATGCTCCATTCTATGATAAACACACTCCTACAGATATTACTGAAACAGAAATCTTTCTACTGAGGCTCTGAAAATAACTAGCCACATGAAGTTTCCTACCATTGTGCTTTTCCAGATAGATTCTGTGCTTTTCTCAGACAATGATGTCAAATAAAAAGCCAACACAGGGATGAGTTCCCTTGGAAACTCAGCTCTTTTCTGTGTTTTCATATGTGGAAAATATTATGTTATCTGTACAGCATAAATATAGATGGAAGTGGTTTATGACTGGTGGTAGGGAACCAGCTGTGAGTAGGAAAAAAATAAATATGTAGTGGTAATGTCCTAGCTATTGTTGTATCCTGATCTTCTTTTATAAGAACATTGGATGTTACATATAGTTGAAGAAAATATCAATTTTTTTCAACTTGATCTTCCCTCTCAGTTTGAAAACATACAACTAACTAACTTTAGAAAAGAAAAAGATTAACAGATTATTTTTCCTTAAGGCTTTTTACAGTGTTTAATTAATTGATATTTTCATAGTTATGTTGTTGTGTTATTTATTCACACTTCTATCAAAAATATTAATAAATCAGCCAAACATAAAACAAGAACAGGCTATCAAATAATTTAAGTGAGTATAGAAAAAAAGATGCTATAATAAATCTCTACGATCAAATTCTGAAATAAAACCATAGAACAAACAAGCCTTGTTTGTTGGACAACTCAGACTCATGACTTAAAATGACAACATTTAGATTAAAATGCTAACTTTAACTTAGATTTAATGTTAACATAGATTTGATTTTAATTTAGATTTTAATGCCTTGATTAAAATGCTGATTAAGGTGCTGGGAAGTTGGCTCAGTGTTAGTGCTTGCCTCGCATGCATGAGGCCCTGGGTTCGATTCCTTAGCACCACACAAGCAGAAAAAACTGTAAGTGGCGCTGTGGCTCAAGTGGCTGGGCACTAGCCTTGAACTGAAGAGCTGAGGAACAATGCTTAGGCTCAGAGTTCGGCCCCCCCATGGCTCAGAGTTCAGCCCCCCCATGGCTCAGAGTTCAGCCCCCCATGACTGACCCCCTCCCCCCCCCAAAAAAAACCCTGCTGATTAAGGTAACCAACAAAAAGTTAGGGATGCATTTGTCAGGAAAGGTTATTTGTTGTAACAAAAAATGCGGCAGCACATCTGTATGTTTATTTCTCATGTGTGAGTCTATGTTTAGTGTGTTTGGCAAGGAAGCTCTTTTAGTGGCCCCTTGGCAGCCCTGGATGATGGGAGCATCATCTTTTTTTTTTGTTTGTTTCCATGACGACCAGTGTAGTGGCAAGGCATGGAAGCAAAACCAGCATTAGGTTTTAGAAATTCTTCCATAAACCAGGTGCCAGTGTCTCACACTCAGATATGCAGAAGGAAGTTCTCATTGTAAAGCTAGAATTTCTTCCTCTGTATTACCTCAGCAGCCATCCCATAGTTAAGAGTTGGCTAGTTGCCTTAAAATCTTACAACGGTAACAAGGGAAGAGGAGATGCCATATTTACAATGAAATGTTGCTAGAGTGACAAGTTCAATTTGTCAAATACTTGATCTCAAATAGACTTTCAAATGGGCTGGACTGTCAAGTCTTTGAAATATAGTACTGTACCTTACCTGTCATTTTCTTTTTGGGGGGCCAGTCCTAGGACTTGAACGCAGAACCTGGACACTGTCCCTGAGCTTCTTTTGCTCAAAGCTAACGCTCTACCACTTGAGCCACAGGGCTACTTCCAGCTTTTTCTGTTTATGTGGTGCTGAGGAATCGAACACGGGGCTCATGCGTGTGAGACAAGCACTCTACCACTGAGCCACATTCCAAGTCTTTATATCCCTAGCTTCTAGCACGGATTTGGGCATACTGTGGTTATTCCAAAGAAAAAGAATGTGTATGGCTAAATTTTCAATTTATGAGTAAAGTTATGTCTTATAATAATAGTTCCTGCCAAGTGAAGCTTGGGTGCTTTGCTATTGATTTTTGTGTATGCCTGTTTAAATTTTACAAGAAGGAAAGCGACCATGTAATAGGCCTCCAAAGAAGACCCATCAGTATTAACAAAATGCATTTTACAGGTTCAGTGATTTTGATGTGGATCCTTCCGCCTTCTGCTCCCAGGACTACTTGGGGATTTATGATGGTTCTGATACTAACGCTCCACTTCTTGGCAAATTCTGTGGTTCTACACCCCCTGCAAATATCAAGAGCAGCAATCGTAGCATGACCCTGTTGTTCAAGACAGATTCTTACCTCACAGCAAGAGGCTGGAAGGTAACTTACCGGCAGACAATAGGTAAGAATTTTGAACATGTACATTCTGTTCATCACTGCTGTTACTTGTTTGCCACATGACTACAGCAGCTTTCCATTTAAGCCCTTAAAGGAGGGCTGATCAAAAAGTCCGCATTGGCTTTGTTGACTTTACATTTAGCATAGGAAAGTGTTTTGAGAATTATTTTTTTTGGGGGGGGGGATGTCTATCATAGGGCTTGAGCTCTGGGCCTCAGCTCTTCAGCTCAAGGGTAGAGCTCTACCACTTAAGCCGCAGTGCCACTTCTGACTCTTTCTGCTTATGTGGTGCTGAGGAATTGAACCCAGGGCTTCATGCATGCAAGGCAAGCATTCCACCACTGAGCTGCCTTCCCAGCCCTTGCCTTGGAGAATTTTAAGTCATGACCCCTCGGTCAGACTGAACTAATAATAAAAAAAAAAGGAAGGCTCTGTGTTTTTATAACTTGAAAAGAATGAATATTACTACAGAAACCAGGGAACAAAATGCCAAAGGCTTAAAAGAGCACTGGTGAGAATGGATAGAGAAAAAGGTAAGAATTGCCAAGAGAGTATAATATTCCAGGAAGACAACATTCGAAGGGAATGGGAGTTGAGATCTTTGGAGAGTTGGCTGGCGTGTGGTACCTTACTGTAAGAAAAACATATTTTGTTTGGGCTGAAGAGCATATCAGATAGCTAATGGAAATATCTAGTTCGGAGTTGAAACTTGAGAAGAAATTTTGGCTGGAGAGAATATCTTGGAATCACTGAGTAATGACAGGTATAGGTAGCTATGTAAATAAATTAATAATGACCCAGTTCATTCTTACTGTGTGGCAAAGATAATTACCTATATAAAATTAGCTCAAAAGTTAAAATCATTTCAAATAAAAGGCCATTAATCAGTTCTCTGTTTAGATGTGCAGAATCCATGGCACCATTTATATTTGATTCTGGAGAATGTCTTGATTTTTCCATTTGAATATTGATGTGATTAATGTTCTGAAATCTAACAACTCCTCTAACAAATCTCATACACTATGAAGGCTCAGAAAAATCTGAGCACTTTCCTAAAATAAATGATTCTGACTCACTTTTCTGGCGTTTCTTTCTACTTACTCTGTAGTATGAATAATCTCCATCTTTCTTATATAAAATCACAGCTTCCCTGAAACTCCTTATTCTTGGTGGGTTATGCTTATGCATGTTTCTTGAAAGAATAACGTAGCCATTTGAGTTTGGAAAGCTCCTATGCAGTACAGACATCACAAAAATAATTTTACCTCCTCCCTTCCTTTAAGCCTCCCTTGGCTCATAGAATATTGCTTCTTTAGAACGCTGTGAGCAAACTTGGGTACAAAACACAGAAGGCTGCTTTGAAAGAAAAATGAATTTTCCTTTGGCGATCATTTTGCAAAAACCACTCATATTCTGGCCTTTGGCACAGACCGTACCACCAAATGGCTTATGTCTGTATTTGTGCAAGGTTTTCTTCACTCTAATCTGTGCTTATGACCACTGAAATGGATGTCCTGAAGCTCTTTCACATGGTTATCCTGTGCACTGTGTCCCAATTTAGCCAGAGTCCACTAGCTTCGTTAAATTAGTATGGGCTTTCTGAGCTATAAAGGAGATGATTGTTGAGTGACTGGGATTTTACTGAGGTTGCATAGGAGGAAACGCCATACACTGTCAGGACCCCTGTCCCTGTGTGAATCTTTGAATGCTTATGGTAACCTGCTGGGTTCCCCTGGCTGCACAGAGAAAGTTAAAATGAAGTGAAAAGAAAGAGAATTTCATAACTCGCTGGCATTGTGCTTCAACTGTCTTCTATGAGGACTTTGACCTCTGTCTCATCTGTATAAATTTCATTGTCCAATTGGAGACATTCAATGAATAACTTAGACAAAACCACAGTGATCATTTTTAACTCTCAGTCTAAGGATTAGGATTGTTGTACATGTGAATGTACTGATCCATCAGAATAACTTCGATCTTGTTTTCATTAGGTTTTGTACATGTGTGTGTGTGTGAGTGTGTGTGTGTATGTGTTGAGGAAAAGGAGAAGTGATAACAAATATAGTTTTAGCTGTAGAGTTTAGACAATCTTTTAGTTACATATCTGGTTTTAAAACATTTCAGACTTGACTGATTGTGTATACTTTTCCACTTCCTTCTCTTCCGTGGCAATCCACCCTGCCTTTCCTGTGAGCAAAGAGACCCTGACTTTCTACCACACAGTGAATTCTTGTTTCCAAGGCTATCAGTTCACCCAGAAAACAGTATCTTCACTGAGTAAATAATTCATGGGAAGAGAAGACCATTGTTGTCTGTGACATTTCCATTTCGTTTTATCTTAACAAAGTCCCCGAGTTTTGCTGCTTTGCTGTTTAGATTACACACTTGACAATAATTTATGTGCATCTGCTTTAATTTTTCAGCCGTCAGTAAAGAACTGGGTTTACATCATTATGTAGTCATCAGTTAAACTTCTGCGTTTGTTGTATTTGGACTGCTAGTGAGTGGGTCAGAGTGAATTTGAGGGAACTATCCCATGGTTGCTGATTTACTAGATATGTAGTTAAGTTGGGTCCTTTAGTTGATCTGGCGCCATTAGAACAGAGTGTGGGGTATAAGGTAAGGAGAAAGCAAAGCAACTATTATGGAACTACAATCCAAATTCGCTTTTCTGTCTCCCCATGTACTTCGGCACTGCAGCGATAATTGATCCTAAATGATTGACAATTAGTTAAATAATCATAGTGGATTTCAGGGTTGTAGGAGACTCTGAATTTATCAATATATCTGAATTGACCCATCACTTTTCTGGACCAGCTACTTGTCTTTTATCAAATTGCCCCAGCTCTGTAATCCTATCATGTTAAATCATTACTTCTGTAGATTTGGCTAAAGTCTAACAAAACCATCCTTTATTCTAGTAACGTGCTGTCATAGCATCAGCTTTCCATGCTCAGAAGCATGCCTCTGTTTCCCAGGGTTAGGGATGAAGCTGATCGCCCTTGTGACCTCCTCGCCCTGACTCCTTCCCTGGCCTGCCCTCACGCTGCATGCTGCTCAGGTAGACTTTACAGGACACTCATCCCATGTGTACCAAACTTCCACACGCAGGACGTGGTGAGGGACTTCAAATACATTGGTTGTATAGCCCATTGGGATAATTTTTTCTCTAAAATAATACTCTCTGTACCACCTAAGCAATAATCTCTTGGGCATTAAAATCAGTGCATCCAAGTGAGATGAAGATCCCTCCCCCCAGGGGATGACATATCCCCAGGGACAAAGCCCTGTGCCTAGAGAAGACAGCAGTGTCACAGAAAAGTGACATGAGTGTCTGGAAACAGCTTACGTGCTGAGGCTGGGACTCTGTCTCCCTTCACCCGAGCATTTGCCATATGGCGAACGAATCCAGATACTCAGGTCAGACTCCAGACCTTTGCCATGAGGCAAAGACAGACCTCTCAAAGCATCACAGCCCATGTCCATCTAACAGAGACAGAATGAATCACAGCTCCATGAAAGGAGACAAACCAAATGGGAACAGCTAAAGACCAAGATGAAGGTGGGGACGATCCAGTTGATTCATTATGTCACTGCCTCGAGACACATCCTTTAGAGTCGTCTCATTTCCAAGCTCAATCTCCATCCACCAGGAGAACATCCATTTGAAATATTACCACTTTCTATCTTGTAAGAATCTGACACCGATGAGGTAGCTGATTCCTGTGCAGGCAGGAAGACCCTGGCATGAGGAAGCAATGATGATATTCTGGATTTCTAACTCCTACCGGGGTAGGGGATGGCCGAGTTGTAGTAGTGCCCAGGCCTGTCATTCTCAAGAGCAGCGCTTCATGAGACCATGATCTCTTGCTTTTTCTTACCCACTTCCTGCTCCCATCCAACCATGGCCGTCCTGCGGTACTTTCTATATCTAAAAGTGAATTCTAGTAATATCCTATAGACCTTAAAGAGGCCTCGCTTGTATTATTGCTCCATCACTATTGGTTGTATGCCTGAATTAAAGAATAAATGGCTAGTCGAGATGGCTCATGCCTGTGATCACCATTGCTTGAAAGGCAGAGATAGAAGGATCGTGTGTCAGTACTGGGGTCGGGAGGAAAATGATACATCCCACTCCTACCTTAACCAGTAATTAAGCATGGTAGTTTATATATGGATCTATAACCGCAGCTCTGCAGAAGACTGGAAGTGGGAGGTTCCCAGTCTGAGTCTACTCCTGGGCAAAACTGTGAGCCCTTATCTGAAATATAACTGAAGGAAGAAAGGTATGGGGCATGGTTCAGGTGGTAAAGCACCTGCCTAGCACGTATAAGGCCCTATCAAAAAACAAAAAGCAATAGACAAATAAAAATCCACAAATGGAAGTATTTATAGTTCAGTTTGAATTTATTATTATTATTTTTTTTTTTGTCAGTTGTGGGGCCTGAACTCTGGGCCTGGGCGCTGTCCCTCAGCTCCTCAGCTCAAGGCTAGTGCTCTACCACTGAGCCACCTTCCTAGCCCTTTTCTTACTTTTGGAGATTACTAGGATTTGACCTTTTAATTGTAAGAGCCCTTTTGCTTTTAGTTTATAATTCGGATGGGGTTTTATGTTCTACCTGGTGCTGGGCTCAGGCTATGATTCTTCTTTCTGCATCTTCTGTATATATGGCATTACAGGCATACACCACTACAGAAGCCCCGAAAATTCCATTTCATTGTAAGATATAATATTAACTCAGATTCACTTCCAAGAGAGGATAAGAAAAGAAACAGAAAGCCCAATGATAGTCTAGGTCACAAGGATGAACATTATGGGATTCTCAAATGGGAACCAATACAACATGTCCACTGCAGACATCAGCTTCGTGTTTTAGCTTTCCCATTTGTGCTGTTAAGTTTATACTCTGAGAAACACAATTGCTGTAGCTGAACTAGAGATTATACTTTACAACATTTACTGACATTGAAAATGTGTTTGTGCATTTCTCCGGACTGCTCTTA